AATACGCATTAATTAGCCACGAGTGTCCGAGAATCGTTCGAGCGCGAGTCGCTATGACTGGTCATTAGTTAGAGAGGCGGAACTAATCACTTCTTCCACTACTCAGCTGCGTTGCAGATATAATTTATTCCACTTCCGCATTGTGCGGCAGGTGGATTGTTACGAGTGGTTTTGCTCAATTTTACTGTGCACTTGATATTGATACGCGATTATTTTATTTTTTTTTATGTACATATATTACGCGCCTAAATTTATTTTCTACTTGAAACAGAGATTGCTCGCGTAATCGATAAGAGAAAAAAATCGTTTCATTCAAACGGCACAATTGAACTTTTCTCGATAACTTTTCTACAATTTCCTATTACATACATGTACATCTAGGTTAATTCCACGGTTGATTCACGGGAGATAAAACGTCCAACGTACGTTCGTGCGATTACGACAGCACTTTCGTCCACTAATTTTCAAAAAACCAACTTTCCCGATCTCACACGGAAGAAAGTTAACACGAATGTAACGAGCGCCAAGACTTAATGGGTTAATGAACAAGATCGCACTTGCGGGGTGTCCACCGGGATATCACGCACGTGCGCGAGAATGTGTACGCGCTTTCTCTCTCTCTCTCTTCCTCTCGCGAGAGAAGCGCTCGCGATTGCTCGTAGGAATTTTTACGGGCAAGTACACGAGAGCTATCTCGTTTATGAGATAGAGGAGTACGGGAAGTCGTGCACCGCCGGACAACCATCGACCGTGGAACCCGTCGTACCGGTTTCCGCTGGATTCCGGTGCGTGCCGGTTCGACGGCACCGAGAAGAGAGACGCGAACAGGGCGATTTCTGCCCTTGAGGCAACCCTGAAGCATCCAATCGCATTCTTGCGACGGTGATACACATACACGCTTGATCGGTTATTTAACGCGAACCGCGTACACAGAGAAAGAGAGAGAGAGAAAGAGAGAAAGAGAGAGAGAGAGAGAGAGAGAGAGAGAAAGACAAAATTTCACACCGTCTAAATTTCTAGAGAAAATTGCATCTCGACGGAAGTGGTTCGCGCGGTCAAGTTTTCCGTTGACCGCGCAAGTGCTGATGCAGCTTTTGTAAATAACGATCTATCACAGTCTTCTCTATGCGCGCGATAGCCGCATCTATCGCACTCGAGATAAGATGCGAACGCACACAACATGCACTGTGTATGCGCAGTGTCATGCATTTGCATCGCGGGAAATCGAAGGAGATATAACTAAAAATGCTACGCTCGGAGGATGCCGGAGATACCGCCGCATAAATCGCGTGTGCTTTATCGCACTCCGGTCTATCTCGGAAGTGATGTGTGTGCTTTTGTGTACGATGAAATACTTCGAAACTTTTTGCGATAATTTTTTTTTATCACCAAGCTCGAACTGCATGATGTATTACTAGAAGAAAATTGTTTAAGAATTAATATTTCGATTTTTGACGCACTGAGTGTTTTTTACAGTTGCTAATTTTTTTCTATTTTTAACATCTTATTTAATTTTTTTATATATATATAAAATATAAATATATAAAAATATAAATTTGTATTAAAAAAATTGTTTTAATTATATTAAATGCTCCGAAACATATCAAGTATGTCTGTTTCTCTCTCTTATTCTGAAAGCGGAATGATAACCGTGATATCTTCAATCCGATATCATCTATTGATAAACTTTGCACTGATAATGTATTGACATTGACAAAATCGATATCGGCAGCCGTGTTATGCAACCAGAAAATTTTCAAAATTCAAGCGCAGTATCTTTGATATATAATATCATAATGAGTTAATCAACAATACACTCACTGCAAATATTATGAGTCGAACGTTATAACTACGATAAGATAAGCGAACAGTGATATACTCTGTACAAATTGATGATTCAGGCTGAGGATATTTTGAATCGAAGTCAAAATATCGCGTAAATCAAACAAGTTAATTCATGCAATTTCAAGAATTGCTATATATCCCTCACGGAGAACGTGTAACTATCCCACGACCGTGTGCAATGTGTATCTACATAGTCGCCTGCGCAACGAACGGGGGGCTTACGCGCTCTTTGAAGCAGAATAGATTCGCTCGAGTGCGTTTTCTCAGAGGAACTTATCCCACTCGATATAAACTTATCCCATATGATCTTTAAACCGGTGTATCGTGTGACGTGCAACATACTTTATATGTACCGCGTAAAAATCAACATACCTGACGAGACTTTCTAGTTTACTTATGTATATATATGTTTTTTTTTTTTACTAATACTGTGTTATATATATCGCGGAATAAGAATACATGTAATAACATTGTTTCTCATGAAACTCGGAGAGTTAAGTAAACTCGGAATTACTAACAAAATTATTGAAGCAACTAACAATTTTCTAACTAGTAAAACCATACATCAGAAAATATAAATAAATATATAAATAAATCTAAACAATACAAATAAATTATTACTTATTATATGTATATTTTTAATAGTTGGAAAATTGCAGAAAAATTAGTTGCTTCAATAATTTTGCTAGTAAAACTTACCTTCAAGTTCTATGAGAAATAATTGTTCAACTATTAAAAACATACACATATAAATAAATAACAATGTATATAAATACAAACATATGTATAAATATAAAGAAATAATACAAGTAACTATTTTTAAATAAAAAGATAGGAAGAAGGCAATAAGCTACACCTGATGTTCGAAATCCTTGGATTAAAGAAGAATTTTACTGGAACATCAGGTGTAGCTCGTTATTGCCTTCTCCCTATCTTTTTATTTAAACATACAACGAGCACGAAACATATAATTAAATATTTTTAAGATATTATAAGTTTCATATCGAAAAATTTCTCTTGAAACGTCTGCTACAGAAGTATCTATCGTTCGAGTTAAAGTCTCAAGACTGATAATTGCCCAGAGGCAATCTCTTTAACTAAGCGCGACCCATCTAAGTGAGTTCATTGACGTTCCGATATGCGGACACATAGGTGCGCGCGCGAGAGAGACCATTATGGTAAAATCATAAACCCATTATACCGTCGTCCCGCGTATCCATTGTCTGGGGCAGTCGCTCTTTGTGACCCACCTAACACAACACACACGTGCAGCACATCGGCTGCACTACGTGGATAAGGGCTCTTTTGCGCGATGGAATTCACTACGGGCTCGTGCGTAGTCGGGTCACGGCCCGAAGGGAAACGTGAGAGCATGCACCTACACATGATCCGCGCGGATACTGTCGCGACGTATAGGCACCCCATATGCGACGTATGTAATATCGCGTATGCGCACGGAATTTCTCACGTGAGTTCATCGGTCGGTTGCGTCGTTTAAAAATAAGCTCGGAAAAAACCGCGTGACAAAGATCCCGTTCCGCATCCCTCTTCCGACCCTTGCGCGCGCGATTACGCGTCAGCTTTCAATTACGAAAGTAGAAGAAATATCAACGCGTGTTTTATACAACAAATGTTACATATATATGTATATATATATTAGAATGTTCTTTTTTCTAATGACGACTTGATAGTCTCGGAGAGAGAAGTTAGTCGTTCAATAAAAAAAGAGATTCTGTGTCTGAGAGCAGTTATCACACATTGTAGTTGTTATTGCCTGTTTGATTGTTTATTCGCTGTGATTGTGGGAGAGAGCGGTCTTTCGTTACACAAGATATAACGAAAAACTCACGGGAGCAAAACACTTGACTGGAAAAATGCACTTTCAAAATTCCGACGCGGTAGACTGCATAGTGAATATTGAAGGATGTAATTTAGCAGGCAGCGGCCGCTACTGAAATATTAATGGCGACTCAGACGGCGTAGGGTTACCTGTGAATTTTTTATCCCGCGCTATATTGCACAAGAAATGTTCTCCGGAGGGGTACAAATTTCGAGGAAAAAAACGTCTTGTCGATAAAAATACCGTCTCGAATTTTTCAATTTTACAATTTTGGCAGCTCGCACGTGTCCGTGAAATGAATGAGGCGAAAGTGACGAAGCCGCGGGCAGATATCTGAGGATATCTTCTCTGCATTCAGTGTGGCGCACCACGTATCTGTGTGTATGTGTGTTCGTGTGTATCTAAAGATCCGCTTCGAATTTTGTCGGCGATTTCAACGTCGTTTTTTTTGACATTAAATAAATAAAAGAGAAAGAAAAACAATTTGAAAGAAATTGTGTAGGAAAGATCTTGCAGAGCAAAGTAGAGTTCTATATAATTTTATAAAGCCTTTTTATCTCGTTTCTTTGTTGGCATACAAAGAAAGACAAAAAGAAATTCACAGAATGATACAAAGAACAATTTCATTGATTCAAGAATTTCTGGGGAAGCGCAGAGAGAAGTTTTGCCAGCTACTTATTTTCTCGGTTAAAATCTTCGCTCGCACAAGATCTTTTCCATACCGATCTCTAATTAATCTCATTAGCAAACTACAAGAAAGTTTTATCGAAACAAAAGTTAAGTCTCTAGACAAGAGAGATTTTCTTTATGTAAAACAATTTCTTCCACATGTTTTTATAACGCGTGTATATTTTCTTGCGAAACGAGTTGGACTATTTATACGAACTCGACGTTTTGCAGACAACGTCGTCGATTAGAAACGCGGAGGCGCGATGAACCTCAACTTGTTTGAGCTCGATATGTCCAACGAGCGCGTAAAAGAAGAAACGAGATATGTATATGTAGTAATTTAATGCCATCAGCCGCGCGCACAACGACGGATAGAGGCCGTCTCTTGTATCAAGGGTCACACTTATCTCATTGAGCTCTATCAAACTCAATTACGACCGCTATAATTAACGTTTCTAGCCAAGCTGGTCCATTCGGAGCGCATCACTGATAGCTCGCGAGAGAGGGACGTGTGTTATTATCGAAAATCGCGCGTGGGAGGAGGAACTAGTCAAGTGGGAGAGACAAGTGGCAGGGTCGGCAGAGAGATCCCGGGAAAGAAGAGCCACAAATATAAAACCCGCGAGTGATAAATGTAAAGCATATAACGCGCAATATAACTCGCTAGACAAAGGCGTCATGGACTAAAGTCAATGATGCGTTTTTTTTGTTCCGCAAATAAAAAACCAGTTTTAGATTAGCTTCTTTCGTTGCGCAAGTTTAACAATGGAAACGCGGTAACAGACGGACAAATCTGCAGCGGTGGGAGCGTTTGATTGATCGATTCTTTTTTTTTTTCTGCGAGATACATGACGCACGATGATCAATTCACCGTGGAAACATTTAGTCGGTCAACGATGTTTCATTCTCTACGGGGGAAAGTAAATGAGAAGATTGTTCCCGGCGAATGAGTTTTATTTTTCTATTTTGCATTTAATGTTGTCTGTGTAATTTTTTGCGATTATTATTGTTGATATACCACTTTCGCGCAGACGTTGCTCGACGTAATTCCACTTCTCGAATCGCCGGAGCACAGGTTTATGATGCACAGCAAGAGGAGATGATGATTATCGTAGCGATGCCAAGTGAAGAAGGGAGCGGATCATTGGTGTCCGTGCAGAGTGGGAGGAAACGGCAGGTTCAGTCCGCGCCGAACCGTCGCGACGCGCGGATTCAGTGATATCGGATTGTCGGTCTCTTTCTTTGTCTCTCCGATATTGTGACTGTTGAATTTTACATCCGAATTAAAACGCGACGGATGTTACGTCCCCACTCGCTTTCTATTGAGGAAAATTTTCACCCGAGAGAGAGAAAAGGTATGACTTTTTTTTACAACTTGATGGAACGCGTCACATCAAGCTTTTCTCTTACTCTCGACGCGCTCTCGCCCTATTCGCAGAGCTCTTTATTCTAATCACTCGGAATTCAGAGATATTCTTATCTCTCGTATGTATCGTATCTTCTCCCGTTCCATATGTCATTTCCGATTCTAGTTTCCTGACACGTGAAACGTGAAACATGACCGCGGAGATAAAGTTCATCATACAGTAGATAGAAATTATCTGACCTTTCCCCGTCGCGAACTTACGTACATACGTCAGAGAAAGGCGAATAAAATAAATTGGATTTGGGGAGAGAACCGCGGTGACACGGTAACACCGTGACTGTCAATTCTTTCTACGTAGTACAATGGAAATGAATTATTTATTGATGATGTCGTTGAGGTTAAACAAAAAAATATATTTTGACGAAGACGTTTCGGATCTTTTTTTTTTGTATCTCAAAATGAACATATTCATTCATAATCTGATATTTAACAAGACTGTTACTTTTCAGCAATAATTTTTGTCGATTTGCATCGGACGATGATTATTTTCGCTCGACGAACATTCCACATTTCAACGACATTATTTATTGAAATTAATTAATGTTGCAATTAATGTACACCACAATACAACGGCGCACACACGCCGAAGTGTTTTACAAGTTATCTATGTCTAATTTTTGCATCAACAACTTTGCTCGGATAGTTTTACATTTTGTAGACAAATCTATCGAATCTCTCGATACGACGTAACTCGACCTTCGACTTTCGATAGCGATTCGTTCCAAGATTGGCAGCGAACCGTTTGATTGATAGAGCGTATCGTAGAAAATTACTTTTAACGCTCTTTCCTAGAATGACATATTTCGCGTCGGCGCGCGCGCGGATTGAAATTGCGTCAATCGAGGAGTTAAAATACGCGACGTTGCTGAAAAAAAAAGTTGATTTGGAATATGTCGAGAGGAGAGAAAAACGAGCAATCGCGGCTCATTTAATACACACGCATTGCTCCGATTTTAACTGCCAAATACGCGTAATTTATATATGTTCCTATTTGTTGGGATACTCGCGCGGCATTTCGGGATTTATCTGTTTGATTTGGAGCATTGTGTCGAGCAGATTGTACGTTATCAAATGGAAATCAGATTAGAATCGCGCGATAACGCATTTCCGATTTATTCCTCTCTCTCTCTCCCTCTCTCTTCCTGTTTTTGTAAACGGTGTAACTGTGAGATAATTGGTTACGGTGTATCCTGTTGTGGCGATAAAATATGCGTTTTACTGTAAATAATTTATACTCAATATATATATGTGCGTAAGATATTATATAGTATGTTTCTCTAAATATTTTACAATATTGCCTTTTAACAACATAAATAAATCAATCAAATTTGTAAACGAAATTGATAAATAATTTTATAACAATACACAATAATAATTTTCTTCTTTTAAACAAATGTTTTGATTGAAGATCAAAGAATTTTACAGTGTCAGAGAATCGAATGTTTCCTAACTCTATTTTTGTATACTTTGTGAAACATTTAGAATTTAATACAAAGAGCCTGATTGTCGCGTGCTACGGATTTGATTGTGAATTTATGTGATAAAAACGGTTCTCCGCGGTTCAGACGACACTTTTAATCCGCTCATTTAGGTAGACTAGTGTAATCCTGATGTTTTACACGTTTCATGGAAATTTTCAACCGTGATTTAGTAGCGGATGCGGCGCATCAGCGCTGATGTATGTGGGAAACTACTTCGTATTTCTTCTTCTTTTTCTTGTTCCTCTTTCTCTGCACCCTCTCGCAATTCCGCGATGGTTATATAGTTAGCCGCATCATCATGGCCTTTTATATATTTTCTTTGTACAGTCATTCCCTCTCTCTCACTGTTTCTCACTCTTTCATGTGTAACCCATCATTATCATTTTCTCCTTGAAAAATAGAACGTAAAAAGAATCACACGTGATAATCTTACAAGTTGATTCAAGATTTTTTTTTGCTTACTTCAAGTTTGCACTCACGTCGCACATACATTTTTATTTGTAAAAATAGTGTTTTTATTTATACTTCGTCCAACCTACTTTCTCCGGTTAAATTTATTAGCATTAACATTACACACACATACACACGTGACGTTCTTGCATTGATTTAAGATTTTTTTAAATTTTGTTAGGTCACGCGTCATATACATTTTAGTAAAAATTGTTTTAAATTACATCTACTTCGTCTGCGTTCTATCGTCTCGACTTAAATTCATTTTCGGAGTCGGGCAAGAAATTTAACACCTCGAATTCTATGTGTTCCCGTTATCATTGTCGCTTCCGTTGAATTATGCATCAGCCATAGCGTAGCGTCCGACCAGCGGGAGCGCGAATGCTGCATGAATTACGCGATGATACGCGATATTGTCAGCCGCGCGAGTCAGAGTGTGAAATGAAATTATGCCCGGGAGGAGATTAACTTGCCCCATTGTCTTTATCATTCATGACAACGGTGTGCCGATCTCTACAAGCGGAAGCTGTGTACGATGTTCTCTCAATAAAACGGGATAACGCGCCGCGATGTGCAATTGCGCGAAGAGGATGTAGGGAAAGAACGCGGCGCCTGTGTGTACACGAAAAATACGACTATTGTCACCTGTGACGCAACGAGTCGTACGAAAAAGTGAATTAACGGCTTTATACGCAGCGGTGTGTGTCACCGATAAATATTGCACGAAACGCAAACAGTGAACTTGTGTGTCCGCGTGTGTGTACGCTGGCAATAGAAAAATACAGCTGAGCTCCACGTGCGTGAAAGCACCCGTGAGGTCACGTTACTCTCTAGTGTGCAAAATCATACATATATGCACGTATCTATCTATTTCTCTTTCTCTCTTTCTCTTTTGTAATTAACACGTGATAATTATTCAATATCAAAGATAACGTATGGCGCGGTTTAACGATGCGCAAGTGTCAAATCGCGCGACACAACGCGTGAAGTGATATACGCTCAGCGATACGATATGTATGTATTTCGCATTTAAAACATTCAGCACGTTTGCGTTTTATTGCCAATCTGGAAATAACGTTTGCTTTTTATTGCCAATCTGGAATAACGTTGACAGTTTTTTTTGTTTTTCAGTAGAGACTCGTTTAGATCGTTAAAAATACAAAAGCTTCAAACTTTCCGTGAAATAACACATCTGTTTTAATGGAAAAGTTTTAAAACACCCTGGTTTTTCCGTAAAAACTGTATGACGCTTCTTCAAATTGCTTAATCAAATAATAAATACTAGCGGAAGAAATACGTAGTAATAATAAAGAATAAGTAATTAATAATAAAAAAATAATTAGTAATAATTAGCAGTAATAATAAATATTAGTGGAGACAAAAAAATATATATACACAGTAGTATTGCGAAGTTTTACACGTGGCGTACGTACTACAAAATCCGTTAAATAGACAACTTGACTAGAAACCACGAGCTACATCAGCGAGTGGGAAATTAAATTACGCCTCTCTGTTACTTGCATGTATCTAGGTCATGCGATTGAAGTCCACACACGCTAGTGTCTATTTCTCAAGGCGCGAGTATTAAACCTTGAGTCTCGTCGATTGGGTCGACGAATTCGCGCGCAATTTTCATTTATTCGAGCATCTTTTTTTCCGTTTGTTTTCGCGTCGCTGATACAAATCCTCAGTGTCTCCCGTTTCTCGCGATACACACATATATTCAGATCACGATCTGGTTACTCGGTTTCACTAAAGATCCGATGACTTATTCATATAAAAAGTTTGTACAATTTTCTTTTCTCACATTGAGTTGGAAAAAAAGAGAACAAGTTCATATATTTATTCATCGGAGTGAATTTATCTCATGAATAAAATATTAACTCGATGGAAAGAGAGAGAGAGAGAGAGAGAGAGAGAGAGAGAGAGAGAGAGAGAGAGAGAGAAAGAAAAACATTGGATACACACAGAGAGATTTCCGATGAAAAATCTATCCGCGCCAGATCTTCGAATGAAAACATACAATTTTATTTAAAAAAAAACAAAAATCCCCTGCGTACTCACAAATTCCAGACTTTGACTGCGCGTCAAGTTAACTGAAAAATATTCTGACTCACTCTCTGTCTTCGTCGAGGATTTCACACCGATGAATCAAGTCTTACTTTTTCGACGCGAGCTTAGGTTCTAGTTTAGTAAAGTAATAAAAAAAAAATTTTACATCACGCCTACGCGTTTTCTGCAATAAATAGAACTAGTCAGAGAAGTTTCAAGCAAGTTACATCGACAGTTTCGACCGTTTCTCATGTATTTTTAGCCGCAAATCCTCAAAACCGTTGATGATCTCATCACGGAAGGACCGTAGTTTGTATTCGGCGTATTCACAAAATGAAAGCAAGCATAAACGTAGCAACATCGTTTTTGCTATTACCGTTCTGGTACTCGTCGTTCATAGAGAGTGTCCTGCGACTGGTACGCGGTCGCACGCGGCTTACGTCCGGGCAAGTATGCGTAAGCACACACGTGTGCGTTACGATAGGCGATAGGCGGTCACACATCGTCGAGATGCTGCCCGTCAATTCAGACCCCGCACACGCGGGCGTAACTAGCACACGTGAAGCGTGAGAGAGCCGCAAGGCCAGGGCCGTATTTATATCCTGGGAAATTTTATATCGTGGAAGTTTTCGCAGGAAAACTCAACTACTCGCGCGTACACATACACACACACACACATTCTCGCGCGTAAATTTTAATTACTTCCCTTAATCACCCCGAACGTGTTAACTGATAATTACACGAGGGATTACTTGGTCGCCGTTGACACAGCGCGATTAAAATTAAATATACCAGGCTTGAACTTTTTTCCCGCGTTAGTTCTTTTGCTCTCTGATAAATTATTCATTGCCACATTACACAGAGAAAAATTGCGTTCCATAAGTTCCGCGAAAAAATACACAATGTTGTTGCCGCGTTGAAAAGTAGTTTCAGCAAAAGGTTCAGCATGTAAATGTAAAACGTTATATTTTTTTTTTTTTTTAACTGTAAAAGAATACTTGTACATTATTTGGAAAGAGACTTATAATTTTTCGTAAAGTTTATTTATTATTATTTTACACAAAGCGATATCTTTTATTGGCAATAATTTGTATGTTTGCGAGAGTTTCAAATCTTTCCAAGAGTTGTTTGGTTTTTTCCAGAGAAAAAAAAACAAGAATTATCTTTCATGTGTGTGTGCTTACTATCGCACGGCTCAGATCTGCGTTGACACGTAAGCGAAAAGCACAAGCGTAACTTGTGCCCGACTGTACCACTCGCCGCCTTCTCGCGACCACGATTTAACCATGACGCAATTCCCGCGCGCGATCCTATATAGCCCCCAAGGAAATCATCTTCGCGGATTCCTCCGCGGCGAACCAGCTGTTACATTGTTAACGCGGTGTCTGCCTCGTGAGAATATGTGGGAACAATCCACACGGGATATTCTTCAAGATCGAACAAAGTCGTTAGAGTGTTGTCTCTTGACACGTTGATTGCAGAAATAATTGCGCGACTTATTTCACTATGTGGAATTATATAAAAACAACAAAATAAAAAACAAGGGAACGCATAAAAGAGACGAATGCCTTACAAAAACATTAAAACAAAGTTTTTTTTCTTTGTAGTATTAGAAAAAAATATAAATATTTTAAACTAGGACTGTGTGCTATTTTGAGAATGTAATAACGCTGAAAATTTGCATTTGTAATCACGTTGACAATTATCTTATTCTTCGCCAAATGTACAGATTGTGTTATTCGAAGCAAATTGTACCAACTGTCTGAAATTGGAACAGAATTGCGACAAGTTCTATAATTGTTCTTGATTCGACGTTTGCAAAAGAGGGCGCGTAAGTGGACATGTCTTCTTCTCTAAATATTACGTGTGCGCGATGTGGCACAATATGTGACGTAAGAACGTGCGTGCAGCACGATAACATTTTGTTCTTTTTCATTATCTCAAATTGTACCTACAAGCTATTAGAGTAGTTAAAATTGATACTAGGTAGTTAAACGGAACAGTGTCAGAGAGAGAGAGAGAGAGAGAGAGACAGAGAAAGAGAGAAAGACAGAAATTATTTCGCAGAAACGCTAATTTTATTCAGTTTTGCATCGAAGCGCGTAACATGTGTATTTTCTCGTATCATTCAATTGGTTTTGTTTGACAAACCGTAAATGATGTTACTGCAAATGTGTGTGTATGTTTATTTTAACGCAGTTTTATTAAAAATAAAAAGAAAGATATTTCAATTTAGCTGTTGTAATTTAAATTTTCGCCTCGTAAATTTACCGAGGCGGCTTGGTAATGAACGTGGCAAATAATAGGTTTATTCGACAATGAAGTACTAATAAGCTTAAATTTCCCGAATGCTTACATAATGAGTAACGGAGCAAGAGCGCGTGTTCACGCCCACACGCGCAACAAATGAAATGGAATTTGCGTGTTATTTATAATGCACGGAATTTTCAGGCTTCACTCTCGAAATTCGTTTCCGCGAGATTTTTCATCAAATATCAATATTACAACTACTAAAAGTGGCCGCATTTGAAATGTTTAAATAAATTCAAACACGTTTTAAAACTGTGTTTTACCCTTTTTACATATTTTTATACTTTAAAATAAAAAAATAATGATATAATATACCTAATTTAAATATAACGCATAAATATACTGTAATGTAAATGTGCGTTGCTAAAAGTTTATCTCAAAATATTTTCAAAAAATGGTAATATGTAGAAGAGAAAGGAAAATAGATTTTGTACGGAAAAAAATAAAAGTACTAAAAAGAAAATTGCTACGTGTCACACTTCGTAGAAGTAATCGAGGCGTCAAACGTTCCAGCAAGTTTGAAGGCTCCATCCGGTCACAGTGAGGCGTTATGAAGGAGGTCCAGGAGCAGCAGCAACCGGAGTCAATGGAATCCAACGAGTCGGTTTCCGGCTCGAACGAGTACGCCTATCGACCGCTCACAACAAAGCACAGACGCGCCGGAAGCACCGGAACCACCGGCGACGAGGAATACACTACGGACGAGGATGAGCTGTACACGGACGAAGCTGATTGCTCGATCGGCGTCACGCTTCATCCGCCTCATCCTATTCTCAAATCGGATCTTGCGAGAGCGGCCACGGATCTTTTCGGCTACGCCACTAAACGTGAGGACGACGAAGAACCTACTAGTCTGTTCGACGAGGACGATAACAAGTTCCTAAGTGATAGGTGCGTTGGTTTTCTTTTGGTTTACTAAATATCTTGATGATTTTGTTAATTTGGCAGAAATAAACGGAATTCCGTTATATTGACTAATAATGAATATACATTGAAAATTACAATTGTGTGTCACACACATTTCAGTTCCAACTCAACTAAAACCACTCTGTTCACGTACAACGAAAAACTACAAGGTGTTCTATCGAGACATCGAAATAGCACATCGGACGAGGCTAAGCCGACAAAGCTCTGTGACAACAAACTAAAATCTCACGAGTCGGAAGTCACGGAGCCTCATCACACGAGATCCTTGGACTTTCGATTAAGCGAGGCAGAGGAAAAAGCGAAGGCCGAGAAAACTGATACAGACTCAACGAAGAAAGATAATATCCACGATTCCTCCAAGAGATTGTCCTTTTCTAAAGATACACAGGTGATTTTATAGGTTTTATTTTATCAGACTCTGAACTCTTCTCTCTCGCAATTTAAAGAATAAAAATATTTTCAGTGAAAAGTAGGTTTTGTTGATACACACTTTTTTACATTAATATATCATTGAGATAAAAGTATTTTATTTAGTTTGGCAAATTAGAAATTTTGTAACAAAAATGTTTGTAACAAAAATGTTAAAAAACAAAACATTTCAGCCAGAAATATCGTCAAAGCAAGAATTGTTGAGCGTTCCTAAAAAAGTTAGCAGTCCGCCATCGCCGACCACCTTGCAATGGGGAAGAGCAGTGGCTGAAGTAAAAGAACACGCAGTGGCGAAATTACAGGAGGAACTTAAGAGGGCTCATGAAGAACTAAAACTGAAAGATGAGGAGGTTGCCAGGCTCTCGCGAATCAGACAAGATGTAGAGGCCGAACTTGAAGAACTCACTGCCAGTCTCTTTCAAGTTAGTTGCTCGTATTCTGTTCGTTTTAGAGAGACGAGAGAAAATGAATGAATGTATTTAATATATTTAAAAATAAATACAACACAAAATACAAAATATAAAAAAAAACACAAACTTTAGGTTAATCACAAAAATTGGTATATTTAGGAGGCACATAATATGGTTCGAGAAGCTAACGTACGCCAAGCAACAGCGGAGCGTCTCTTGGAGGAAAGTCGCATGAAATCAGAAGTACTTGCGGCCGAAGTAGTTGCTTTGAAAACTTTGGTGCTTACGTCTACACCATCGAGGCCGAATCCTCATTTGCATCCTCAAATTGATAAAGGTCGCGTAAGCAACGGCGAGGACGGCCAGGGCTTGTTTACGAAAAAACATCGAAGGTAATATTGTTCTAAGTTTCTGTAAAAAAATTAATTTTGATTGTTGTTGTAATAATTGCATTTAATTACAATTTTGATGCAGATCGCCGTCGCATTTCAATTTGAAGTACGGTCGAGAGAATTCGCCGCCTGAGTCGCCGGTGAAAGAACAAAGACCGTCTTTGCCGAGTGACAAAGAAACTCTCGAGAAGGAGTGGAAGCGGGATCGCGAAAAGGAAAAGGACCGGGAGTGTAAGGATTTCGGTCTGGAAGTCGATCCGAGAGTGTATACAGAGTTTCTCAGATGGAAGGCAAATCCCTGCGTCGACAAGAGCGATCCTTTTGTCGCGCGAGTATTTCGAGAGGACATCGACCTCTGTTTGGATTTTCCTAATAAAGAATTGGGTGCTAAAGTCAGACAGGCCGTGTTGGACGGCATCATTTTTATCGAGGCGGTCAGCGACAAAACGAAACTTGCTTTTCCCAAGTACGAAAAATGTTATTTGTAACTGCGCAGCAAAAAATTTGAAATTTCATGGAGATAGACTGTCACACGCACTTATAGAGGAAATATTTTTGTAAAATGTACGAAATGTCTATTTCAGAAAATGCGCGCTGTTTGAGGCGCCAAGACAATGTAACTACCGTACGCGACTCGGCGATCAGGAGAACCAATGGTACTGCATCTCGCAGATCTGTCGCAATCGAGTAAGTTGCGATAGTTAGTTACATTTGTCGATTATTTTGAAAAGACATTCCGCCTTAAGTAAGAGATTGCGTGCTTGCAGATTATAGCGGTGTGTGATTTTCTCAATTATTTGAGATACATCGAGCGCGGTCTCGTCAAAAGCTCAGGTAAATATATTATAAAGTTTTTCAAACAAAACTTTATTATAAAAAAAAGATAATTATTAGATGCAATTTAAAATAAAACAAATTTAAAAAACTAAATTAAATTATGTCCATATGCGTGTAAATATTTTTCAAAGATTTTTCTTTTAAAGTTGACGCACATGTAACATTTTTCTTTTTGCATTAATTGTCGTGGCAATGTCAAACAAATAAGTCAAAAAAATTTTACATCTCTGATGCTGTTAATAATTTATATTGAATTGTGCGAAAATTATTGTTACAGTTCACGATGTTTACTGGGAGATCACGCGGCTGAGGAAGGAAATGGTTTTCGCGCGCTTGGGTCTTGCGTTGTCGTCCTGAGGTTCGCGCAGACGAGATGTTATTTAGTCTCGGAACATTTTAAGTTAAAAAAACAAAACAATTGATTGCCTAGAAATAGAATCAATTACAAAGTGCGCAAAAAATCACTGTAATTGCGCGGTGATTTCCGTCATCGGCCTTTTTTTGCGCAGTGAAGGTGCAATGCAAGTAAGCTTTCGGATATTCGAAGTCTCTCTAATTCTGTAAAACGACTCTGATTGATATTTCCTAAAAATTTACACGCGCGTGTATTTTTACGACTGTAAAACGTCCGTGATTTATTCATACATGAAACTTCCTTTTCCTGGTTTATGAATTTTGTAACGCGATTAATAGATTTAACCTACGTCGCGATATTTTTAACTCCGCGTGAGAATACACAAGGATTTATATTTAAAATCATCCAGGAAAAATGCGCGTGCGCACTTGCGCACCGGGTTAAACTGCGCGCGTGAGTTTTTTTCGAAATATCGATAACCACTTTGACACATTGTAGATTTAATTATTTGTGAGCAAGTTAAAGTGACAATGGAGCTGATTAGAAGGCTGTGAATGATCTTGACATTGCTGATCAGACATTGTCAAAAAGTCTCTCTCATATGTAAATAATAGACGAGAATTTTCGAGATTGTATCATATTTTTTTTTTTTAAAGTTTAACTGAATGTCATTGATAACTAATTGTTAGACTTGTGACGAATTATGACAGTTAAAATTCTCCGAACTATATAGTTGACGTTTATATTCCATGAATAGTTAATGTGGTTAACAATCATATATTATATATACGAGTTCACTATACGTCGTGGTTTGGTATTAACATCGACAAAAAATCCCAATATGTGTTTGCAAATTATTTATATTTATAATTGTTTGTGTTTTTATTTTTTTAAATTTTATTGTATTAATTTATTGATTTGTTGCGTTAATTGTACACTCTGTCAACGGCTGAATATTGAAATATTGTTACAAATATTGTTGTGATCGCATATAAATTATCATATTTATTTACGTTCAAGAGTTCGTACCAAACCCCGAAATAGTAAAAAATCCTGTCATTTAAACTTGTAGGTGATACTCATTGTTGCATCGTATTCTGACTACTATAATATAATATTCTTTCGATATTATCACTCATAGAAAAGAGAGAGTTATATCTGTGTGGACCATGTATGAATCTCAGAAAAAAAATTTAGTAGTGTAAATAGAAAAACTTCTATCCATGTCATACAAATAATTCTCAACATTTTATCATAAAATGTCGTCGGTTGTAAACGGGGACATTTTCGGTTTTCTGCTCTTCAGATATTATATAATCCAGCATGTTGAAAGTATAAATTCGCGTTTTCTTATGACGGTTATATGTTGTTAATATACATACATATATATCGATCAAACCTGACATCTGCGTGTCGGTCATGTATTTTCTGATTGTATATACATATATATATATATATATACACACACACACACATATATATATTTTGTTTACTACGAAAATATTTTCAACTCTGAATTTTGGATCATGAGATATTAAATGAATTACTCGAGGCGAATAATCTCTACAAAAACAAAAAAATTCACACTGTTCATTACACCATAATGACTGAGACGACTAATTATTTCAATGCTGTGAAAACGATCGCTATCGGTGAGATTTTTATCTTGTCTTCCATTATTTACCGCGTTCGATAATGTAATAAAAATAATGATCGAGAGAAAAAAACACAATTTACGAATCAGTTCGCCATTTGAAAATAATGCCAATGTACAACTTGCGGCCAACGATAAAAGAGAGAACGAAACGCCTTTTCGTTATACGGGGCGGAAAGAAAAGACTTCTTGTGAGCATTTCTTGTGAAATAGAAAATATATGGTAGTTGTATATTCAAGTGTAAATAGAATCTTATATTACTCTAGAGGCAGAAACTTGTATTAAAAAAAAAAAAAAAACAAAATAAAGATTATCGCTATTGCAAAAGTAAGATAATGATTATCGTAATTCTTTTGCAAAGAGTCATTATAATTTTTAATTTTATATTTAATATTTAATCTACTATAATTTTATACTTATTATTTTTATAAATATATAATTATATAAATGTACTTAAGATATTTGTCTAAGTTTACAGACGGTGCGTATTTGTACTCTGCATGTTAATTCAAAGTACGACGCATGTTTTTTTTTGTAAATATCATTTTTTTTTAATAATAATACTTATGTTAGGTGGCGCAATCGTGAAGCCATCGACACCATCTAAAACAGGATCGGGATGTTCTGGGGACAACGCAAAGTGAAATTTCTGCAATAGACACGCAACGAAAAGAAATACATTGTTCTTTGCCAGAGTCTCGCCCAAGCATCGTCTGCGACCTATAGTATATATTATTGCAATAAGTTTTTAATGTTGTAAATTACAAGACGCGTATTTTCTACTTTACCTAAGCCGAACGGCATTAACCAAGTATCCTCGACAAATTCTCCTTTGTCGTTGATAAATCTCTCCGGTCGGAATTCTTGCGGATCGCCCCAATGCTCCTTGTCCATATGGACGCTTCTCAAATTAGCCAACATGGTGTAATTCTTTTTTATCTCGTAGCCCAACAGAACGGTATCGACCATCGCTCGATGAGGGATTGTGGTGGGACCGACATTCGCTACTCTCGATACTTCCGCTAACGTTGCGTTCAAGTAGGGTAGTCTGAAAATTTTCCATCTTTATTATTTGCGCTCAAATGCAAATCTGTTTAAGTTTACCGAGTTTTGTCTGCTATGCGAGGTAACGCTTGTTTGCCCAACACTCTGTCGAGCTCTTCGTGCAGTTTTTTCTGAACATCCTGCTTGACAGCGAGATACGTTATCACAAAGCCGATCATGTTGTTCGTCGTTTCTACGCCGGCGGTAAAAAGATCCTGCAAAACGCTAACTAGTTGCTTCTCTAGAACAAGAATATTCTCCAATTTTACATTTGGGTCTTGATTTTGGTATAATAAAAAAAACTTGATTTGATGAATATTAAAATCTTTATTACATAGCAATTATATAATTGTTTTCATTGCTTATAATTAATGTATATATTTTTTCCAGGTATTTATTTTAACATTTGCATTACCGTTAAAGTTTGATATTGGTTGACTCGATTGTTTGTCCATTTCCGCTAGGTAAACATCAATAAAATCTCTGATTTCGTGTCGCATTCTAGTTTCCTTGTGTCTCGATATTTCATTCTGAAAAGTAAAATATGTATCTACACACACACACATACACGCAAAAAAATCACATTGTTAACAAAAATTATGTAATTACTGTGATAAATTGCCATATTTGCGTCAGTCTCTGATTTATTAAAGTATATCCGGTCGATGCCGGCATGACGTATCTCAAAAAAGGCAAATGATTCAATATACCACCGCTGACATTGCTGTGTCTGACAAGATTGTTTACTGCTGTTAAAATTTTCAATAATTTCGGATTGCCATTAATCTCTTCGTCCAAGTCAAATCTGTGTAGATCATGTTCTCCGACATTATTTACGATAAGATGCGTATGTAAATAATTGAATATAGATAATGTATTTATAAATAACGTACTTTTGACCCGCAACTATTGTCCATAAGCTGTTTATAACGGCTATGGAGACAATGTTGCTCAAATTTGTAATGGGCCCGGACTTAGCCTGCGATTCTATTATGTTTGTCAACGAAGCTGCATCGTCCAATATTATGTCCTCCATCGCGATTTTTCCAAATCCAAAAGATTTTAACGTTTTCAGGACAAATCTAAACAATAACTTGCGGTTAAAGTCGTAATTCGATCAAGTGTTTAAGTGTTTTAATATAAAGAAGTTTTTAAGTGTTTTCTTTTAATTACTTAGCATCGCTCGTCGAGATATCAATGTACACAAACAGTACCTTCTTTGATCCCGCCAGATAGTACCGTCGGAGAATATCACACCTCTTCTCTCACCTCCTGTTCGATGTCGAAACATGAATCCGTCAGGTCTTCCGTCGAACTCCGGTCGATTCATCATTTCCATCACAGCATCCTTGCCGGAAACGATGATTATCGGTTCGGCTATACCGAGTCTCAAGCCGACAACGGGTCCGTAAGTGTCGGCCAAACGACACCAAGTGTGAGAATAAAATTTGGTTTCGCTGACCAGATGTTTTATGTCAAATATGTTTCCAACGATTGGCAAACCATAAGGACCTACCAATTGTTTGTTTTTATTCTTTTATATACAGACAACGAATTTAAAATACGTAAAATTTAAAAACGTAATAATTAATATTCGTTACCTGGAGGAAACTTCGACGGTCGTTGCCAACTGTATAAAATTTTTATCACAAATATTATGAACGTACAAATTATTATGTACCACATTGTGTTTAGATGTTAACTTGAGAACGATAAAACTAATATCATTCGAAATGTCAGCTCAGGTTCTCTTTGATCAAATCCCGAAGAAAGAAGCCGGAGACGGATGTATTGTCACAAATTAACTTAATTATTTCCATATGTAGCGCAAAAAACAGCAAGAGACAAGCGACATCAAAAAGAACAGTATTGATACTGTTCGAAATGCCGCTAAGAGAGAAAAACGAAACCTTTCACTGGTTAGCCAAGAAGATTTTTAGCTCAAGGTTTTACTTACAAGAAAGTAACACACACACAGTTGCTTCTACACAGTTGCGCATGCGACATTTTTGCGCTCTCTCTTTCTCTTTTTCTTACAAAAGATTTTGAGACTTGATAGTTAAAAAAACGGAAATTACATCAGTTGGAAAAATGATGATAGTGTCGGATGTTTATTTAAGACAATTGTCTCGTGTTTTTAACCATCTGTCTCGCACTTGAAATGCATTTGTGATTTATTGTACACGAGCGTTACTATCGCTTCAACGGGCGGTTTGACGCGCGCGAAACGCCGCGCTGAGGATTGCGACTGAGGATTACAACACGCATCTACCTCCAAAATGCTGAGAATATTTCGAAGTATTCTGCAAGAAAAATTTTTTCAAGGCTGATTGTTGCGAAAACCGTAAGTCAACCGTGTCAAATATATGTGCGGTTTTAATGTGAAAATTTACCTACATGAGAGAGAGAATAATTTATACAGTTTAAAGATTGTTTTACGTGACCTCAACCACACTTTATTTATTTAAAATAAAATTTATAATAAAAATACCAAAATTACAGATTATTCGCAATCTGTTACTTATTACATTCGACGGTAACACAATAATACGTGTTAAAAAAAATGCTAAAGAGCGTGGAAAAAATTGTAGAAGAATGAAAATACACCGTGTAATGCGTTGTGTGTAGGAGCTATTGCTAATATCGGCGATTATAGCCGTGCAAAGTGATCGAAGAAGTTATGAGCAGATGTGGGAAATCGTAAACTGCAATTCCAATCAATCGAGCGAGCATGAAAAGAGTAACACCGCGAGCTGCGCACCGGCGATCTTTTATTTCGGGCGTTCGGAGGTCGGTTAACATTTTGCGCGCAATAGCATTTACAATTTCGTACTTGCCCGAGACCGAACCCCTCAATTCTTCCTCTTCTATTCGCCGGCTCCATTTTCCTTCGGCGTCTTCCGTTTAACCACGACCACGTCAAATCAAAACGAGAACGACCGAGCGGGTTGGCATAACAATCGCCGCGAGCCACTTAAAATCGTCGAGTTAATTCTCGACCGCGATTATCCGCTTGAATTGCCAGATCGTATGCGTAGTACGTAGGTAGGTTGTTGACACTGTTATAGCTATTGGCAGCTTGTTAATAAACTGCATTATTATGGCTACAACTGTTGACAATTATCAATTAAAAAATGATTGATATAAGTTAAAAAACTGAGATCTCCAAGTTCGACGATTTAAGATAATTATTAGAAAATGAAGCGGAAGTAATGGAAAACTTAGTTTTATTTAATAAATTAACATATACCTCTTTCTTTCTCTCATTTAACAACAGAACAAATGTTGTGAGGAAAGTTTATAGAAAGTATAAGAAAACTGATGTAAAAATTGTGTAAATAATACAAAACAAAACTTTTTATGTTCTTCCTCTCTTGTACTTCGCGGTTTTGAAATTTTCTAGTTCAAGAGAATTTTCGCCACACAAAAATATCAAAACTGTCATCGCAATATCGTCGAAATATCTGAAAATCGTAATGCTTGGACCGTAATAACCGTAAATTATTGCATCGGCGTAAGCTATAAAACGATACAACGGCCATCCAACAAAAGAACGTATAAAACGATCTGACCTTACTTCCGTCTGTACACAATAGATCACGAAACCGCACATGTAACGAGCGATCATGTCAAAACGAGTTACTAGTAGTAGTAATGGAAGAAAGGAAACAAGATAAAGAAGAAAACGTTTGAAAAAGCGTGAATGATTCTTAATTTTTTTGCACTTACATGTGGAACAAAAGTCGCTTTATAGATAAAGAAAAACATTGAGTGTAGAAAAAGTTTACCGTATAATTGTAACATTATTCAATTATAAAGTAAAATTCAGCGATAAAGTTTTGAGCGAGCATTTTTGTTAATTCGCGAGATAGATGAATTGCGATTCTCATTAAACGTTCAAATGTGGCAGGTTTATTCTTGTCATAGAGAGTAAAGACGAACAGAACAACAAGTGTTTTATCGTGCATAACGCGCCAAGACTTTCAAATTAAATGTTTCACGGTCAATCATCGATTGCTTGTTAAACTGAAATGGGTATAGCCAAGTATATAATCTCTTCATAAGTTCAAGAAAGTCAGCGCCGTTGCCTTCTCCGTGCGTCGTCGGAGAATTTAAATCAAAAGTTTCGAAACAACTCTTACCGAAGTCTGCGCCTTCTTCTAAACTTTGTAATGTATAAATCTTAATTAAGTAATTTGAGTATGTGACACTCAACTTAATTAAAAACTAATTTGCATCTGTACTGTAAAACATTAATATATAAACGTTGCTTTGTATATTTTATTCGTATCTCATTCGCGAAAGTTGTTAACACGCCGTGGACAAAGGTTTTTTTTTCGCGCGTACGTTCGATTTTGCGCACGCGAAACATTCGCCACTTTTGTTCAGTCTCATAAAAATTATTTAACGAGGTAATTATTTCGGTGGCAAATGATTTTTGCTCGTGGGCGTTGGCAGTCAAGATGCATTAATCAATTAATCAACTGATTGTCGTTACCATGAGAAAAAGAACGATCGGTAAAACTGGGACGAAGAACAAGGAGACGAAACGTTGTTGCTGCTGATAACAAGACCGGAAGATCAAGATGGTGGATCGGTGGCTTAAAAAGGAGCGGGGAGATCGAGGGATTTGATGATTAGGTAGGTGGGGATGGTGGTTTGCATTTACCGAAGGTGCTAGGTCCAGCCGAGTTGGCACTTGAGAGTAACACACTTCGATTCAACATCCGATGAGTGGTGTCGTCATCAGATTTTGCACTCTCTTATTTGTCTTGTGGTCAATATTAATTGCATATACATCTTTACGTACAAAAAGCAATTTAATCTTTCTGTGAACATGATTTCATTGTTTAATCTTTAATTGAAAGTTTTATTTTAATAAATCTATTAACAATTTATTGTCAAATCGTAATATGCAAAAAGTAAATTATTAAATTAACTTTATTAGCAGCAAGTCAGAATTTTCATCTGGTGTTGGATGTAGGCTGTGTTTGCGCTGACCAAAATAGGAAAATAGAAAATCTGAAAGAACGGGGAACACACACTGGCGGGGCGATGCTGATTCGCGCGCCTTCCATCTTTTTTATTCTTGCGGTATGTTGTGTTTTTTTAAATTCTTGTTTTAGTAGATAAAATACTTAAGAGTTAACAAACTACTAGAGAACTATAGAGAATTGATAGAAAAATATGTTTAATTAACTTATTATTACAAAAAACATGTTGTGTGAGTGTTTAATACAAGAAAAAAAGTAACACGCTAAAGTTAAAGTTTGTTTAAAGTTGCTTTTAGATAAAATAGGCAATAAAATAAGAGAAAACGAATACAAACAAAAATTTTATTCTTACGTAATTTTTTTATTTTAAAAGACTTAATTCAGCCACATATGTTATTGTAACCTTCCTTATTGGTATTACAAATAAATTGGTATTAAAAATAAATTAAAAAAAGAATAAACTAAGAAAATATACAGATTTTTCTTGTTAGTCGATTCTTGGTGGTCGATTATTGTTGTTCTTATCGCGATGTGACATATATTTTATTTCTCTACCAGTATCACTTTTGTGTCGGTACACTATGTAGTCGTTTTAAATTAATCTTAAAATGCGTGCCGAGATATCGAGCTTATGTGGATTGATCGGCTAATCGAGAAAGTGGCATTTTCTAATTGAATTATTTCTATATATTAACAACAAAAATGTATTATGATGTTATGTTCACAGTAAACTAGCGATTAAATATTACGTGCGTTTCATTACAACAGGTGTGCTGTTGGTGCAGACATAATAACGCGATCCCACTTACCTTTCATTCATCACGTGTAGATCAAGTATGTTGATTGATTAATTTTTTTATATTTGATAGTGTTTTTATTTATTAGAAATTTTTATATTTTTATATTATACTTATTTTTATTTTTACCGTTACTGCTTAGTTTATTCACTTTCTGTTTAGCTTATCCACTTCATCAAGTTTTTTACAAATTTATAATTGCGTCTTATCACGTTTTTACAATTTTATACGTTGTAAACTTTTTTTATTCTCGTATTGTTAATTGTTGATTTTTAATTGGTGCTTTTCTCAAAAAACTTTTGCAAAATTTTCCTCTTTTCAGATTACCTTCGTGAAATAATTTAGACAGAATAATTTTCAGACCTGTTATTGATTAACGTTTCGTGTTACGCTTGATTACAATACTACGAATACAATTTATCGGTTTTATCGTAAGCCAAAAGTCTGTAAATTAACTTTCTAATTATTTTCGTAGAAGCAAAAGTATCAACAATGATTCTGTGGACAGTAAAATAAAGTTTTTTATACTGTTTCTTTTCTATTGTTATCTATTTTTATAAATATGTATTATACACGCTAAAAATATATCTTTATAAAATCTTGCATACACATCTTTTGCTTGAAATTTTTCAACTTTCTCATCAAGTTTTTTGCATCTATAACTATTTCTTTAAACATAGGATGTGATCACACAGAAAGAAACAAATAATCATAATAATCGGGATGACACTGTGCGACTTCGTGCAAGAAGAATGGCAAAACCATTTGCTGTTGCATCGAAGCAAACAAGCGTTGTAAATGCTGAAAATCTCGTTGCACGTAGATCATTGAAGAACCGACAGTTAGTAAACCTATAATCTCTTAACACAAGTAAAATTATATAATTAATCAAACAAATCTCTATAATGAATTACTGTTACTAGAAAAAAAACAAGTAGAATTGAAAAACATACAACTGCGTTGTGTAAGTATCAAACGTTTTTATCATTAACGCTAATCTCATTCGATTTTTTTATATAGCAAATCTTACAATGAAAATGTGAATGTCAACGTCCGAAGCAGTTCTCATCGTCCTCAGAAACGTCGTGAGAAACATCATTCCGCAGCGTCATCGAAGAAGCCAAACAAAACATTCGGCATCATAGAAGAACCCTCGACAGATTGCGCAAGCGGAAGGAGGAAAAACCAATGGTACACGAGCAGCTTCGCAAACTCGACGGACAATCTGAGCGTCGATCAAGAGCTTGACAAACTTGTTGGCAACAATTCCAAAGCGAAAACGCTCACCAGCGTTCATGAGGGCGAGGACATGACTCTGTGCTGGATAGAAACTACAACCATCAAGGAGGACAAAAACGTTCGACCGCCGAAGAGGCTGGTGATTCGGGAATACACGATATCCTTCGAGAACTCGGCGACCATACCGGACAGATACCTCGAATGTAAACGATTTGAGGGCGAATTATCGACAAACGATCACGAGATCGGCAAAACAGCCTTGTTCGAGATCATAGACGAGAACACCCAAGTCAGTAAGGTCGTAAACTTTACTTCAGTCAGTCACGAGGGCAATATCACGGATTGGCAATACAAAACGGTGAAATGCGGAGTCGGTCCAGTGGTCACTAAGAACATTGTCGAATACACCAGTTTGGATAATCCGAAAAAACGAGTAGAGATCAAAGTCAGTCCGAAGATAAATTTGCTGACGGTGAAGTCTGACGAAGAACCGTGTACGGACAGTTCCGAAGAGAATACGGACAAAAGTACTGAATCTTGCGAAAATGGATCTTGTGGCATGACCACGATGTTTAATGAAGTTCCAACAAAAAGCCAGGAAATCGGCTCAACTGAGAAGACAGTCAGCGAATCCGAGGGTAGTGAGGAAATTTTGAAGTTATCCACTGGTGTCACTAAAAAACTGTCGTCTGAGGAGGAGCCGATAAAAACAACAGTTACTCCCGAGATATCAACTAAAATCTCTGAAAAGAGCTCAAATTGCGACGAGAATCCGTTAGATCCAGAGTGCTTAAAGCAAACAGTTGTTAAATCATCTTTGGAAGAATTATTCACAGAATCTTCAGTTGAATTATCCACGACGGAGGCAGCTGAGAAGAGTGAAACATCGACGAGCAAACAGATAATAATTCCAAATTTAAAAGATCAAGATATAAGTACGAAGGAAGAGATTTCCAAAGAATTATCAATATCAGAAGAGGACAAATCCATATCTGATATATTTACTACCGGTATACCGGACATTTCAATTGAATCTTCAGAATCGGCAACAATTCAACCAACAAGCGCAGAGTACACGACAATATCTAAAAGTTTTGATTATTATGATCATATTGCTACTACGCTAAAACCTACGGTAACAACTTCCACTCTAAGAAGAGAGGAAGTCGAAAAGAAACGTGCTACGTCCGAAGAACATAACGAGGAATTATTAAGTCCCGAATCGACAAGAAAAGAATTAGATGTAGCTGACAACGTTCTATCTTCGCACGAAATCAGTACTGCTCCGTATACAACAACTACGATTCCTTCGACGGAACATTCAACAAAAACTGTAATCTCAGCATCTAAAGAAGAAGAAGAAGAAGAAGAAGAAGAAGAAGAAAGCAAAGAAATAGTAATATCTGAAAGTAAAGAAACGACAGAACAATCAACGGAATTCATAATCTCAGCATCTAAAGAAGAAGGAAGCGAGGAAATAGTAACATCCGAAAGTGAAGAGACGACAGAACAGTCAACAGAAGAATTCATAATCTCAGCATCCAAAGAAAAAGAAAGCGAAGAGATAATAATATCCGAAAGCAAAGAGATAAAAGAAAATGTAACTTTATCATCCATAGAAGAAAGAAGCAAAGAGGTGGTAACGTCCGAAAGCAAAGAGACAACAGGAAGTACAATTTCAACATTTGAGGAAGAAGAAAGCGAAGAAGTAACATCCGAAAGCGGAGAGACAATAGAACAATCAACAGAGATTATAATCTCAGAATCTAAAGAGAAGAAAACCGAAGAAGTAGCAACATCTGAAAGTAAAGAAACAACAGAAAGTGTAACATCAACATCTGAAGAAGAAGAAAGCGAAGAAATAACAACATCCGAAAGCGAAGAGACGATAGAACAGTCAACAGAAATCGTAATCTCAGCATCTAAAGAAAAAGAAAACGAAGAAGTGATATCATATGAGAGCAAAGAAACGATAGAACAGTCAGTAGAAAGCGTAACCTCAACATCCGAAGAAGAAGGAAGCGAAAACGTGGTAATATCCAAAGAAACAGCAAAAAGTATAACTTCAATGTCCGAAGAAAGCGACGAAATAATAACATCCGAAAGTGAAGATACGATAGAGCAGTCGACAGAAACCGTCGAAATCTCAGCGTCTAAAGAAAAAGAAAGCAAAGAAGTGGTAACATCTGAAAGCGAAGAGACAACAGAGAAGGTCATCGGGAAAGATAAACTAACGGCAGTGTCACTAACAAGTAGTGAAGGTGAGTCCTGTGAGAACTCCGAGGATTGTGTCAGCAGTTCGGAGGCTTGTCTTGAGTCCGAAGATTGCGGCAGTACGACCAAAAAATCTTGCGAATCGGAAACATGTTCCGAAGAGAAAGAGGAGATCATCACTGATGAATCAAAATCTGACAGTTCATCGATAATCAGCGAGTCGTCCGAAGAAATAAGCGGAATCGAGCACACAACTGTTGCGAGTATCGCCGACACAACAATCATTAAAAAAGAAGATAATATTTCGAAGAACGAGAATATTCCCACTACCGTAGAGACTCGAAGAAGCACGCTCCCGTATCAAAAGCACAAGTTGAATTTGAAAATCAAGATTCTGCTGGAGCACATTGACGAGAAGGAGAAGCACAACTTGGTCGAGGTTGAGAAGCATTTGTCACTGTACGAAGATATAGAACATCACGACCATACCGATTTGGTTGAACAACTGAAATCCTTAAATGACTCCGTTAACTTGGAGGCCTTGAATGCGTTGCTAAATTGTACCACTTTGAACAATCTAACGAACGATCCGCATATCAGCAAGATATTGAACAATTCTTATGAAGAGACTTTTGAAGAATCAAATCCCAGCTCCGAAGCAACATCTCGAAGACGAAGAAGTCTTGAAGAAATCAAAGATGCGATAAAAGATTTGGTATCAACATCTCGAGATAATGATTCGACGAAGAAAGAACAGCTTTCGACGACGACGAACAGCAACGCAGACAAAACCACTATTGCCGTGTATTTGGCAAACGACGCAAATTTCACAACTTCAACAAATATCTTTGAAGAAGAATCAAATGATACTATAAATCCGGCGAAGAACGACACAAATTTTGCGACAACGTACAATTCCGAAGAAGAAACAACAGACACTTTAAATTCGACGCAGGAGACGTATCTTTCCACGACGACAAATAGTTTCGAGAAAGAAACAACTGATAGTGTAAATATCGAAAACGTGACGTTCAACACAGAAAACAAAAGCGCAGTTCTTCCAGAAGAGACAAGCAAGGATAAGACAAAGCTGAGTATCGTGCGACGGGCGTTGTTAAAATTACGAGAAGATATCTCGACAGGATTCCAACATATTATATCGCAGTTGCAGTCTAATCTGACCTTGGTCAACGACGAAAACAAAACCGATAAAACAGATCTGTTAGATATCATATCAGATCCGAAAGATGACAGGATCACTTCGAGAAAGAGAAGAGAAATCGCGGAAAAACAACTTGGACATTGGTCGAACGAAAGGATCGGAGAGGCGCCGATAGGCAGTAAACTTAGAAGTTTCACTGAGTTTACATTGTACAAAAGTCTTTTCTGAGTGAAGATGCTACAAGAGGTTTCTTATTTCATTATTTCCAGGTAATTTTTAAAATTAAAGTCAACATAAAATAATTTCAACAAAAGAGAGAGAGAGAGAGAGAGAAAAAGAGAGATTGGACAAAATTTTATTATGTATAAACGTTGTGTGATTATTCATTAATTTAATTATGTAAGTTGTAATGATAATTGTGCAATACGATTGTGTACATTTCTCTTTAAAAATACAAGATCAAGAAACTTTTATTTATAAGAGTAGCGTTTTGTTTACAAAAAAAAATGTATGTATAACTGCAAACGAATTTAATTAAACGTTAAACACATTATTTTTTTTAATACACAGTTGCTAATGTGTTGCTTCAACAATATAAGACAGCAAATGATAATTGTAATTAATAAACAGATATTGTTCTTTATATTTACTGATGTATCTAAATTGTTTTTTTACAGTGTGACGGTATGTTTATCTCGTTTTTCGTCTGTGCTGCAGCACAGGGCAAAGCCGATATTTGCAACGTTTAAGTTATCTTTAAAGCGCTTGATTATTGTGTGAATGATTATAGCTCGGGTGTTCATAACGCTCGAAAATAATTAATCGTAAACAACGGTTGCGCAATTGCACTGGCCGAAATCGCGCCTATAATGGATTGCACTAACGAGGAATTGTTACGTACTTTTATTGTTTTCATTAAGTTGAAAAGAAGGCGTCGGTGGTGATAAGCACGAGTATTAAGCACGCCATAATCAGAGGTCCACTTTTATTGTTTTTCCATCACTCCATAACATCCGCTTTACATCAAAGAAATCTGTGTTTCGAATTTTTAATTAGAAACAATTATTATGCACGCAGGTCTCAGAAGATATATATTGGCAACTAACATCTTTTGTACAGTTGGAAAATTTTTTTAAATGAGTGATCAGTTTTTTATTATTTTTTTATTGATCACTATATAAACACATATATCTAAGCATAATACAATGAATGATTTTCGATTAAATGTAGAAAGTTAATTAAGAAGTTTTACAAAAATTAAGTATCTTTGCTGCAACAAACAATTTATTTAACAAGTAAATTAATTTGCCGACTACTTCGTGATTACAATATTAATATTTCCGTGTATGTACCAACACGTTTTGTAGACTACATCGATGGTTACGTAATATATTGTGAAGTTTCATTATCCTCGGAATCTCGGACACGTGTAATTCTCCGGCAGAACGCACTTCTCCGATCTTGGATCGAACAACAGTGTGTTCGGACATTGAAGATCTCGCATTGAGGTGTACTGCTGGATGGTGTTATCCCAGTAACACAAATAATACTTTTTACAAGTGTTATCTGACACATCGGGAAATCGGCCGTATCGATAGCAAGTTGGTGGTACTAGCGTCGCGGTTTGCATGCATATACCGGGCTCGCAACTCATCGCTGTTGGATTAAATATGGTACCGATGTAGCACGATAGTTTTATCGGCATCAGCCCTAGACCGTCGGATACGCATAGATAATAATTCTGGCATGTGCCGTCAATTATCGGGATCGTCTGACCCGGTACTTCGCAGATTGGCGCCACTTGAAACTCGGCGACTTTGATCAGACTGAAGCACAGAAGATACAGGAAAACGTTAGCAAAATGTCGCTCCATCGTGCCGCGAATCCGTAAAATGACTCAATATGCAACTGGTAGAGTTTATTTATAACGCAATTTATAGCTCATTGGTGTTGTCGCGCAAATTCTCGTTTTATTAGACGGGATTTCGTTGAAATATGAGACAATTTAGCACACACACAATCACATACAGATGAAATATAGACAATTGTTGATGACACGTGTCCTGACCTTGCTCTTGCTTTTGCCTATTTGTTCAGTGCTTCAAGATACTATGATTGTAAATAGCTTTAATTTTACCGCATGTGTGTGTGTGTGTGTGTTGAATATTCCTTTACATTTCAATTCTTTGGGACACAGTTTTCTTTATATTTGTTTTTTTTTTAAATAAACTTAATAGTTTGCTAATTATTATTCTGTGTAATAATTGTCATCGAATAAGAAAAATATGAAGTGAATATGCACCACTTTGAAGTCAGGACGGCACTCATACACATCCCCGACCAGTTCCTTCCAGGTGAAATGTCGGACGTTTCAGAATGTGCGATTTTTACCACGGCGACCTTACGACAAGGAAATCGAGGGTGAATCTACGGAATACAAAATCGTCAGAAAGCGACGAGAAAGTCGGGTGTAATGTCCGAACAAAATATATTGTGCGCGTTTGCGCATGCTGACGTTACGCGTTGGTTATTTTGTACACACGGTCAGATCGAAACGAGAGAGTTGTTTTATGTGTAGTCCACTCATTAACATTACTTTATATCTTGACGTTATTTCAAAAATATATATTTTTTCTGCATAGAAAAGTATGTAATATAGATATCGGCACGCGCGCGAGAGCGTAATTATATATTGATACTTAATTGCTTTTTTTCAATATCTACAAAAATTAATTAATTTTGATATATAAAAGTAAGTTAACGATGCACATGTTGTTAATTTAACAAAAAGTTCAGAAGAAAAATATATGCTTCAAAACAATTTCTACAAAAACTATCGTGCGCTACGTAAAGAACTTCTGTCAGTAATGTTGTTGTCAACTAAGGGAACTATAATCTCAGAGAAAGAAATTTTTACATCCACATAAAAAGACATTCCAGGCTTTGACAAGTCGATTCTGTATGTATAAGAATTCCTGTAAAAAAAAATCATCGAGAGGAAAACTGACAAGGGTTGCTGATGTTACGTTGTGGAAAATCCTCGGTTATTCTTCAGGACAGGTAAGTTTGGGCTGGAATTCACATATTAGAATACCTGCTACGATGCGAGGGAAAGGTGCACAAGAAGGGAGAGTGAGGTGTCAGGAAGGGAGGAGAGAAGCTCAAATGTATATAAGCAACTTCGGCCGAAGACGCTCCAATGGACTCTCTCTTTGACCTTGGTCGAGTGCGCTTCTTTCCTCTTCCCGGTTTTCTTGATTTTTAAGTTTTTTGTCTTTCGATCCTCACGCGTGTACAATCGTGTATGAAGTTTCGATCGTCTTTCCGCTTTGATTCTCATCTTTTTCTGGCGACGTGAAAGAGCACCGAGTTTTTCGCGCGCTCTCTCCCGGTTGCGTTACGTGATGTGACAATGACAGAAAGTTAAGAAAATTCGATTTTTAGAAAAAAAAATAATTGGAACAAAGAGTGATTTTGATTCTACGTGTATCTGTGACATGTTTCTGACGAATAGTTCCTGACTGTGACAAAAATGGATGTTCGAAGAGTAAGTAGTAGATTTATATCAATAATAAATATTATTTATATACATTATCGAGATAAGATCCTGTCGCCTCGATGAATAATATTATGGCTGTTGTTAGAGACTCTCTTAGAGGTTTATACGCGATTTAAGTAATTTAATACTATGTTATCAACTTCGGTATGAAATTAACTAAAATGTTCTATTTTGATGTACGAAATAACAATGAAAGCAGTCAACAAGTTGTTTTATAAAGATTTTTAAATGTTTTTTTTGTATTTTATAACAGATAAAAAGATATTTAATGCGATATTGTTTAAAATTATAAAAAATAATTTAGAAAATTAGTTCAATTAATGCAATTGTGAAAGTTCTCGTTACTGAGAACAGCATTAGCAACTTGAAATATCAAATTGTTGCATTGCAACAATTGCCCAGGCGGCGACTTGCTTGTAAAGTTCATTGTTTCTAGGTCCTCCGCAGTTTTACAGACCTTGTTTTCTCGTGCTTATTACTGATAGATTATTTTAATACGCCACAATTTCCTTATGATGCTGATAACGAAGCGAATCATGCGAGCTGTGCGCGATTATGATACGCCTAGAATCGTGGGAGTCTTGGCGACATAGAAAAGACCGCTTTCGAACTTGCATGTATGTATATTGCATACGGATGTAAAGCGCGCGAGAATATTCTACATTCATGTTAAAACATTGTCTTGCCGGTAATGTCATAAATATTCACACATGTCTGATACACTCGAGATAATCTGCTGTTGTAGTTAACAAACTGTATTATTTCAACACATATCGCGGAATTACTTTTTAAAAAAAGTAAATAAACACAATAACAGTATACAAAATTTCTAAATAAAATAATAAACACTCAGAAATTAACGTTACACACGAATTTTTAAACTTTTCTCTGCAAACTTTTTGTTCAATGAAAAAAAAAAAGAAAAAGAAGGAAGATTTTCTACTTCGCAATGTAATTCACGTTCTGAAATCGATTTCTTCGGTTAAAATTGATTCGTGCAGATTGTGTTACGGGGGGAAAGGTATGAAGGAGAAGAAAGAATCATCTGAAAGTCACGATTTTTAATTAGCCAGAGGAGCGTCACCGGAACAGTATGTTAATGCCGCGGACCCCGCGTTGTGTCTCGAGAGTCACGACTGATTTATGCACATTGTAAATCGCCCGATAGCGAGCGTCAGACGACGAATGAGCGACAAAGACGTATGCCACTTTCGAGGCGAATGATCAGGTGGTTCGGCACAACGCCACGGTCGAAGAGGGAAACTCTTTCAAACGACCTAAATCTGTCGCTTTCCGATGTTTGCACGTATCGTCTACTCGCGTGATTTTCAAAAAAATTAGTTTCCGAAAATTATTTTCGAGTATAATTGTCGTGCAGTTAGTCATGCTATTAGTAATTGTTATTCCATATGTATCAGCTTCAACTATCACAAGTGAGCGTCTATCTTATCTTCGAACATAGCGAGGATGGATAGATAACATTGTATTGCAAACACTCGATAAATTTCTTTCTTAGAAAAGAAGATTGAGTAGAAAATCTCTTTTTATCAGTTCAACTTTAACTTGTATTTCATTTCTGATCTTTGTACATTGTGATATCTAAGCAAATAGACATCTATTTCTCGCTAAATTATACTTGCGTTTAATCTATACATCGATGCAATGTTAAGTCGAATATTAATTTTATCAACGCTCGTCTTGAACAAGCATACGGCAAAGACAAGAAATGTTAATTTAACAGATTCGTTTGCTTTGACAAAACAAAGGTGTGAGGTTTCCTTCCGTTTTGTCAGGCACGTCCTAGTTGTCAATAATGACATAATGTCAAAGTAGGCCGTGTTTTCTCGCATACAAGGAAATACGGAAAAATTCTTTGTACATAATTTCATATTTCATATTTCATATTTTATATTTCAATTGGTATTTTTATATATTTTTGTTTAAAAATTCGATGACTTAGACACAGTAAAACGTATTGGCTTCACAGCGTTTTTTACTAGAGAAAAAAGAAGCTGTGGCGAATATTTTATGCACGTTATGTATTTTTCCGACATACGTCGAACAACTGGAACAACTCGCGATGTAAATACGACGGTTAACTCTCTTTCTCTCTTTCTCTCTCGCTCTCTGTCCCGACGCTCTTATGGGTAATTGTCTTTTGCGCGGTGGAAGAGCACCGTTAGGGAGCTCGTCTTTTCTAAAAGATCGCCGAGATCTCCCGATTTTCACCCGGCCATTTCCCACGGGAGGCTTCGGAAGATTCCGAGTCGTGAAAAGTGACAGCATAATACCATTATCTTTTCTGGATCTTATATCGCACTACATTTTCAATTTAAAAAAAAAAAAAAAAGAAAAGCACATATCTATTTTCGTGTTTCAGATAAATATTTAAACAAAGTCGTTACGATAATATTTAGTCAGAAAATAACTTCAGTCTCTTCCGACTGATGTCAAAGAAAAGATATCGACGCTAGGTGTTTTCTCATTTCGAACAACATCGAAAGTTTCGCCTATAAATTATCAATACCGTTGACACGATCGATCTTGATTTCACAGAGACATCTTCCCTCCTCCCACCGCGCAAAATTTCTTCTACACGCGATAACCGTTTCGTTTCGGGTAACGTTATCCCAAGTAATGAGAGCGCAGCCTCGTTATCGAGCGGTTCGTCTCGATTAGAGCTGACATTCATTTTCCGTTCGTACGAGAGACGCGCACGTCGGATTACATCGTCTTCTCTTGCTGTAGGTCTCCGCGACTCCTCGTAATACCCACAGCCCACTTACCTACATTACCTATTCAAGTGTGTGCGCGGGCGCACATCTATCGCGTTCGGCGACGACATTTGTATATATATATACATATATACGAGCGCGCAATGGCGTAATCAATTTTAATAATCGGATGTTTTAGCAATGAACTTTCCGCGGAAGCGTGAGAAACGCTCCGTGATTGCGAATGCGACGGGAAGTAACTTTTATTGCATCTCTCTATTGCTTTCGCAAGTTTGTATTAGAATTTCTCCAGTGCTATTATTAGCGGATTCATTACGCGGTTAATAATAGAGGAGGTACGATTTATTATGTGTATTATTACTTTTTTTTTAATTTACTAATGTAAAGTTTGTTTTTTGAACATTTCTGTTTTTTTGGTTTTTGTTTTTGAGACGCTTTACTGTTTTCGACACAAACTTAAGCTTCAATGAAGTGCGTAAGATTTCTAATGTCAGCAGTTACGCTGCTGCGAAACGCAACGTGCATTCTCTCATCTCGCACTTCTGTATCAACACGCGACCCCGCGATTTGTATTGTGGCCGATATATTGTGACGGCGGTCTAGAATAGAATCGTAATCATTTGCCGAAACGTGAGACGTGGTCGAGAAAGAGAGTGAATACGTTCAATATTACTCGATAGGATAGTCAATCGCAAACACTCGATCATAAAACGCGTGTGCCAAATCGACGTTCTTGCTCAGATGTTCTCAATGATCTCAAGCCGAGAAATCGAACCTATCTACTTCCTGCTAGTTTTTGACCCGGTCTTCTATCCTTGATTCCATCATCGAACTCAAGTGCGAAGTCACTTGATCCTTGTTTGATTAATACCTGCTAGATTATTCGAGATGTCTACCGACTTCTCCTCATTAACACGTCGTGCTACATTGTTAGGTTGTAAAGATGTAATGTTAAATCAAATTACATTTACAATAAACGGTCGCTTAAAATCGAAATAAGAAAACTTTATAAATTAAATTTGTAAGAATATTTTAGTGATAATGTTTTATTTTTGTAACATTGTTTTTTATTTTTATAACAGTATATATAATTCGGAAACAACTTCATGTCAAACATCTGTGCGTCATTAAACGTAATCGCGTTCGCGATACGGTGGCGCAAATTGCAATATTACACAGAATGCCGACGATGCGCCTTCGGCGGAAACAATTTGCATAACGCCCTCCCATCGTAATGCGTTATTAGAAGGCGCGTCTTATACGCATCATGTAACGCGTCGTTCACGCGTACATAGTATATGTGCCTTCTTCTTTTTTTCTCGTTTCTTCACTTTCCTACGCGGCTTCCGGTTTGCGGGACAAATACGGTCAACCCGCGACTACTCTCGTTCTCTCTCACAAGAAGAGACGACGCGCGCGTGCACGCGAGCTCTCGTACGCCAGGAACTGGCACGTGGAGCGCTCGCATTCAATTTACGTGAGAGAGTCTCAGCGTAGGTGATGCGAATCGCGCGACGGATTCTCGGAGCCTTTCTTCGACATTTCGTTCGGCCTTCCGCGACTTCCCTGCGCCAGTTCTCTCTCTCTCTCTCTATCTTTCTCTCTTTCTCCGCATCGGAGATAATAATTTTCACAGATCGTCAGTTCGCATTGCAGACAAATGTTAATGGTTACATGAATTGTGAAAACAATATTAGCACGCTATAGCTGCTTATGAAAACTATAAATTGATGTTTTCAATTTTCAATTTATTAGTAATTTACTTTGAAGAAGAAATATTGGATTGCAAATTTTTTTAAAAAATAAAATGTTTGAAAATAACACAAGAATATCGCAACAATAAAAAGATTGAGAAGACATAAAACGCGTAATAGAACATCTGGCTTTTGATATATGGAGTGCGCAATCATTAGATAATAATCTTACTACTATCTACTATACGCGCATGTAATCGACTGTGAGCGAGTAATAGATGAAAGAAACTCTCGCGAGGAAATTTTATGAGATTGAATCCACGACGCGTTCCCGACCTTACTCTCGAGCGTAACATTCGCATGACTTGTGACCTTTCGCCATCAGTAATGACCGGCTAACTTAGAATCTCTTCGAGAGAATGACGATTACGAGTTCTACGTTAAATAGGCCAAAGAGAGAGACTTGGAAACTTCGCACTTCGCGTTTACGAGCGCTTTTCACTCTTCTAGAAAAACCAATTTAGAAATTCGAAATAGATGCGCAAAAGGTGTCGAGGTGTAAAGTCGAGTAACGATTAGTTTAATAATATAAAATAAGTGTAAGATCTAAAGGTTACTTGAGTGAACGCGTAGCATATTATTTGCGGTAATTTCGGCCACACCAGACGCAGCCGCAACCAATTGTTAGCCGCTTCGCAACACACAAAATGATTTTTTTTTTTTAACGAGACGATATATTATTCCTTACGCGGTGCGTAAATTGCGCGCGTAGAGCGACGTGCGGTTAAAACCGGGTAATAAGCTGAATTTAGGACTAAGAAGAGGAAAACCGAGTTCAACGAAGACTCCATTCTGAAATAACAAGGGAGAAGGCGTCTAGTTTCGCGCACGGCATACATAATCCTCGGCAGTGTAGAATGATTCTCATGGCGCGACCCAGTTCGCTTCACCACAGCTCGTTCGCCGTCGTGTCATTGACAGTTGCGGAAAGTATACATAATAATGTAATATGTATCTATGAGCTTTCACATATCGTCACGTGCAAATAATACCTCGAATATTGACGAAAAGAGAAACAGATGTTACAAGTCTGACAACTTTGTGAAATTCGTCCCGTTCTTATTGTTTGTTTGAAATTGTGTATAATACAATCCAAGTAAACATCGTGTTAAATAATTTTCTCTCGACATTTTAATGATTCTAATTTACTAACATCTCTTTTAATTAAATTAAAAACAATTATACATGTATTTTTTTATCATATATATAATGTGTATGTGAAAAGTTTTAAATGTTTTAAAACCAAGTTGATATTTGTTTTGTAGACGAATAATAACTTACGCGTGGAAAATAATGGTTTTACGTTTCAGACTTTCCCATTTTTACTGCTGATGATCTGCGCAGCCTTTGCCATCAGGAATCATCATGGCGATCTCAACGGTATTCGGCGCATTCGCAAAGTCAGTTTAAGCGAGTATCTGGTTCCACCGCCGCCACCCAGGTTCTATCCAGGTAGAAGTCCAAGAACGGCTTCTTCAACCGAGAAACCAGGATACTTATCGCAGTTTTGGGATATGATCAATCCGTTTAACTACGGTACTACTTTACCATCATTACCACCACCACCGCCGTCCACACCCTATGAAACTATTTATACCTCATCGCCACAGTTCAATCAACCACGTCCGCCACCGCCTGCGGATTACGATAAACCACCACTTCCTCCATCTTCCTTTAACAACAATCCGGGATACTCTACTCCGGTAAAAACCAGCTGTAATTCTTGCAACAAAGTTCCTTGGACGCCACTGCAAACCAACGATGTTACTCATTCGGGGGATGCTTTGCACGCACCACCAACGCCTCAAGTATTACCAATTAATGGCGATTATCCACCACCAATCAATGGCAATTATCTACCACCTAGTAATCCCGAAATCCCTTATGACGCTCACCATGCCGCCTCGCAAAATGTCAGAGCTCCGGACTACTCTGTTGTTCCATTGAGTACTGATGGACAGGATCTTGGTTCCTTGCCCGATCCGCGTCTATATCCTGAACTGGTGCCACCAGTGAACAAAGCGCAAAATTTCCATATTTCTTATCAGGATACGGATCCCAGTCTCGGTAAATATCTCATCTATCTGAATAGTCCTACAAGTCCAGGTCTTACGAGTCCAGCAGTTATCAATCAGGAGTTAGGATATAATAATCCTGATGCAAGCAACGAACAATTCAGTGTTCAAAATTATGATACGCATAGTGATTTATCCTCTAGTGGTACTCATGTGACCCACGCCAATCCTGTACCAAACAACCAAAAATTCGAAAACATCGAAAGTCATTCAAGTTTGCCTGATTCTTCCTATCAGCAAGCATCTCTTGACAATCCCAACATCCTGCAACCTTCAGGAATATCCAATAATGGAAGACCTTACGATGTCACAGGATTTTTCAACAATTCGAGCCAAATCGACCAGAATCCTCCCAGCAGCTATGGAATTTCCGATCCCGATCAAGTGCAGAACAATTCCGAGAATCAGTACCACGATTTGTCCCCCAGCGGCAATGTTGCTAAAGATACTTACGTATCTCCGAGCATTCCAGTAAAATCTACGAAGACTGAAGACTCGATACATTTTGAGGAGTCACCGTTGCTAGATTTCACACACAAGGGTGAAAGTCGGACGAAGTCGTCCTCGATATCGCCGACCTCTAACGCGATCGCGGAGAGTGCTGAGACCGTCGAATCGACCTTGGCACCTGGCGAGGAAGTTTTCGGAACACGTCAAAGAGCTGTTTACTCTCAGACGACCGATTCTTTGTCCTTACAACCGAAGGTTAACACAACGAATAACTTGAACAGAAGTGTTTATAACTCGAAAGTTATGCGATTATCGAATATCTCGTATGTTCCGTCTTCCGCTGAAACAACAGTATCACAAAACTCAAGTATTTCGACGACGACGACGACAACGACAACAACAACAACTCCTCCTCCACAGAGCATACTGTCACGATTATTTTCTTGGCCCCTCCCTTGGCCCTTCTCTTCCGATGTGGAATCTACGAGTGACTCGAAAAAAGACGCGTCCAATCAAAGAGCCAATCTCAATTCGGAAGCTACGAACAAAACGTCTGTGAATCACCAGGGTGTGAAAAAACAGGTGAGATTAAATGAAAAGCTTTTAGATAATTTACAATTGAATGCGTGATTATAATCACGCGGTGTTAACACCTTGATGTCGGGGCTGTTAGAGCAAAACTTGACGCGGGTACGAGAAAAATTCACGCATTTATGTTATTTCAAGTAAACTGCTCTATGTACTGCGCATGTTAAAAAGATAATTGCATAATAAAAAGTATAAATTCTTATTTATGAAAGTATAAGTCTCTTTCTTTTCTCAAAATTTCATTAAAATCAAGCGGTTCAAAAGTTTGTTTATACACGCTTCTGAAATTTAAAAAGCAATCTAATGATTTTTTGCACTTTTTTATATATATTTTGAACAGTGTCTGCGGCAGAGCCCGAGTGTCAAATTATCTTATCGCTTATATACACGATTCCAATGTCTATAATAGCGAAATAAACCAAGAAAATGCGAACAATATTCAATTATTCTAACTCGTAAAACATCTGTTATAACGTATCTAAAGAAAAATTGAACAATTTAGCGTTTTATCCATTTATTTGTGAAAAAAAATCTAAATGAAGCACATATGCGTTCCCCGGCGCCTGGTAAAAGATCTGAATGACATATAAATGCGGTCCTCGGCGTCAAGGTGTTTTATCGTACTTTTGTGATCAAACATTTTCCACAGGTACAGCTTATTATTCCCTACACGCAGCAGCATACACCGCTTCCGTTTTCTACGCAAAAAGTTCCTTGGGTCAAATTCAATCACAAAATTTACGTTGCCAAAGAATCGGCAAAAGCGATCAAAGTGACCAGTCTTCCGGATTCTACTAACGCTATTACTCGGCCGACCACTTCGGTAACGTTGGAGGATCACACCAGGAAACCGGCCGGTACCGTTGCGAACAACTCTATAGACGTACATAAGTTGCAGAGGAACATTGATAACTGGATAATACAGGTATATCGCTCTCAATGAAGCTTTTTTCACACATTGTCAAGGTAAATAGATAGTATTTCGATAAAAAGAAGACTTACAAGAAAAATAACAAAGTTTTCAATAAAAAAATTGTCATTACACGCGTAACATGGTGTCGATTTAATTGCGGTGAATGTTGCAACAAAATATGTTTATATCTTGTGTTTATATCTTATTTAGGAATATTCAAAGAGAATAACTGAGAGTACAACGTCTCCTTTAGCCAGTTTGAATCTTTTCCCTTCGAAGAAGATTCCTCGCGAGTATTTGACTACTACTGAATCTCTCGATTCTATTGCCGACAAAACTGACGACAAAACCAATGTCAAGACCTTTACTCTCGGCGGGTTTACCTTCAATGACGTAGACTACAAAGCTTCAACCAGTAATCGCGTAGAACAAAAATCTCAAGTGCAGGTAATTAAGTTGAATTAATTAATTAAAATTAAAATTAAAAACAAAGAAATATAGTGGAGAGTAAGAAAAAATATTTTATTTATTTATTTTTTAAAATATTTCCTGTCAAGGAGGAGCAAAAAAATTCTACCGACGACGCTTCCGTCCCGTCGCCAAACAACGATGACGCGTGGCGAGGCTTTTCCTTAGACATTTCTAATGTGAACAAAGAACCCGTCTACGTAGTGACGTCTCAGTCTATTGTAACTACTCATAAAGCGGATCCCGTCGAGCAGAGAAAAGAGACAGCGATCAAGGAAAGAAATCCGGAAGAATCGAGACAAGAAACGAACGCGGAGAAAAACACTACAAACACATTCGAGAAAGCTTATCAGGTGTTGCCTCAGGCTGTGAACAATTTAGCCGTGGCTTCCACGGGCCCAGAAAGCGTTCCTTTGTGGGGCATTATGGAGCACGAAGAGTTCTCGACGCCTGACGATAAAGAACACGACGAGACTGACGAGGCCGATGAAACTTCTGAAAATCCTGTACTGTATTTCGGACATTCAAAGGCACGTATTTCTTTTTTAATCAATATTTTGTAAATTCTTATACAAAACAAAGGAGAGATGTAATGTAATTTATTGAATTATTTTACAATGTTTTTAATATTCGAGAACAAGATACTTAACAATTATTATTTTAAATTTTAATTCAATGCGTAATGTTTTCTTTGTAGGTCTCGCGCGCCAGGCGATGACGTACCGATGGCGGAGAATGCTCAAAACAGTCGTGTGTGAATATGCGAACAATTTTGATACAGTGTGTTTGTAAACGATTGCTTGTGTGAACAATTCGAAGTTAGAAATACTTAAATAGAGAGAATCTTACAATTTTTTTTGAACCTCGATAAAAACTTTTCTCAATTAATCTTTGTAATGTAAACGGGTAAACCATATTAGTTTTACGTTTTTTTCTACGTAAGTGATTATTGTGGCCAGTGTAATACCGGATAATTTATAATTTCAATCCGGACTTGTGTATACCACGTAAGTTTTAGTATATAAGTAGTTCGGTAAGTTTGAAGAAGTAACGAGAAACGATAGCACGAGGCTGAGAACAACGCGATTATGTCAATGTGGCTCGTGTTTACTACTCAGATCGTATCATAAGTAATATTTTTAAACATAAAACACGAATTTTTGTATTTGTGAAAAACTTTTAGTTCTAATAATCAATTATAAATAATTTACGAGAAACTATAAAATGATTTTTTTTTATTATCACACATTTTTATGTCATATATTTTCTTATGTCATTTTAATTTTAGAGAAAAAATTGCGGGGGGTGTGGTTGTTTTGCAAGTCCAGTCGCGCGTCGTTTGAATTCGTCTTTTATGCGTTTTCCAATCACGTACGTGTGTGTGTGTGTGTGTTCGTCACTTTCGCCGATTTCGTAAAGCTGGACCTTTGCCAACGAATGTCACGACTTATTTGAGCACTGCTGCATCTAAATATACGCGCGTGCGTGATACGCATACATGCATCGCAAGCAAGTCGGTCTTTGCTCTAATTGCACGATAATGGAAAAGAAACTCTCTCGCGAATTTCGAATTTGTTTTCTTCGCACACAGTCGCGTGTTTGCGATCAAACAATACAATGTTTAAACGACGCTATGTTTAAACAGATATTTTTTGTACACAAAACATTTGCATTCTGTCACAGATTAAGTTTTCTGTTGGAAGAAAAGTGAGAAAATCGCGCGAACAAGAACATCACTCATTCGTGAAAAAAATCGTGTTACATTTAATGAGCGATCATCTCGATGCGGATGAATCTCCCGTTGAACAGATTGGCCGGCTTGATGCAACTTATTTCATTGACCTTCGAACTTCCTTTTCAGATCACAGGAAGATCACACGTTGCTTGTGAGAGACGTGAGAATTCCCGTCAGAAGATAGTGGGAAAAGATGTTCCATTGTCCGCACTGGCGTACTGAAGTTGTTTGTCTTAAAAGAGAAGCTTTAGTAGAGAATCTTGAAGATTAACACCGTAATTAGATCCATTTCTGCGGCAAATGGTATCGAACAAGGACACGACCTTAATTGCCGACAGGGAAGTTTACTATTATGCTTCCTTCGAGGAGTGCGTAAGAATTTTTGATTCTCTTTCACGCGTTTAATGCAATCAGAAAGTAAAGCACAGAAAACGTTTCTCCAGACACTTGTATTTAAATTAAAATATTGTTGCTTGTTTTTTTTTTATACAGCGTTATTGGCACTTATTTACATGAGAGTGACTTGAAAAATACTTTATTTATGAAAGTATAATTATCTCGTTTCAATATATGTTAAAAGTCATCAAGAGTTTCTTGGCAATCCTGATCTTTGTCTCGCTAATTTTCTTCGCACAAATATCATTTCTATTGTCCAGATAATTAGCGTGACAACGGTTACGCAGTTAATCAAAATAAGGCAGATGGTATAACTTCCAGTGCTGTCTCGTATTAAACCTGCAATAAGTAAATTCTTTGTTCAACATGTGATTTGTTTACAATTTTTAGTTTTTAAATATTACAGAAAGAGAAAGAATGTGTGTGTGTGTGTGTGTGTGTGTGTATACAGACTATTTAAAATTTTACAAACAAATATAAGAAAAGATTAAATTATCTTCTCATACCAAGCATAGGACCAGCGCACATAAGAATCACTCCGTTGGTCATCGCCTGAATTCCTGACGCGTTGGGCAACTTTTCGATGGGAACGTAGTAGGGCACTACCAAGACCATGTACACCGATCTAATACCTTTCGCCCCGCCCAAACCTATTGCAATGACCACCAGCGAAGCAAAGCTGTTCGCAAAAATCAGCGCTACGGTGATAAAATAAAATTATTCACGTTAAATATTCTGTTCTTTTCGAATAAGAATACAATACATAATAAAGAACATAATTAATGCATATACGTTACAGGTTCGGCTAATAATCAAAAGTGCCAGACTGATCATATACATTATCCTAGGGGGCTGACGCAGCAATTCGCCCAAATAAGGAGCCGCGCCTCGGCTAATAAGATCAGCTATCGCGATAATACTCATGATATTGGCTATTGTCGCCGTTTTCAATCCCATATCAGCGAGAATAAACGGCGTGAGAGTGGAAAAGTTCACTTCGGCAAAAATCGCTATCGACATCCCCAGCATGATGTTCAGGTAAATTGGATCGCGCAAAATGTCGAAATCGTAAAGATCGCTCACGCGTTGCAAAATTCGGCGAACGGCGTTTGTATTTTCCTGACTGCACAACATATATATAATACAATATTTTTCGCTACAGTTTGTCACATTTTTTAAAATTTATTTATTAATAAAAAAAAAAAAGATAAAAAAAAGTTATGTAATAGTTTTCTGTTTAATATCATTATTTAACGCAAAATACATGCGTGTTAGGTGTGATTTTTCTCTTTTACTCACTCGTCTTCATAGTTCTCTTTATGTGAATCATCTGTTTCTTTTTCTAATAGAGCATTTTTTTCCACCATGTCTTGATTCGTACCGTTGCTCCTATTTACACTATTATTCGTAACAAAAGTTAATTTTTTTGTTAACGGAGCAGGCTCATCAAAAATTTGTATGCAGCTACCGAGATTAACACTGTTCACACTTATTTCTAAAAAAAAAATAAACTATAATTACAACATGTAATTGGAAATCTGATTATTTTTTTGTTCTAATAAAATTGCGCGGTTTAATACATGTATGAGTTTTTGATAATAATAATTATAATTACTCGAATTCCACCATTTGAGACGGTTGTGTAAGGTCTCGGTATCATAACTTGGATCATACGACACTGAAATATAAAGAGTATTTTTTTAAACATTGTGTATATTTTAATTAATAAATAATAATTTAGTGAGTTGCAATATATAAATTATTTAGTTTATATTTATTATTACTTATTTAAAGTGCGTTTGTTAATTGGTTCATACCTGATCTATCTATAGAAAGTTGTCGAGATAAAGGTACGTCGAACCCATAAATGTTTCCGACTTCAATATCATGATCAATACTCGATATAGTCAATTTCCTTTTTCTTTGACAGGTATTTATCGTTTGTCTCGAAGAGTTTACATTTGTTTCGTCCTCCATGTTACGCTTTAGTTTATCTGTAAATTAATTCACATAAATATTGTACGTTATTATTATCTTTGTTTTTAAATTCAAATAGCAATGAACATATACCTTCTTCGTTATTTAAACTCGTGGGATTTTCAGAAAGCGTCTCGAGACAGAGAGGCACGCTTTTCATGTGCCACTTAACCGGATGTAGCAACATGACGCCTATCATCGAATGAAGACTGTAGGCGCCGAATATTAAGAGTGTTCCCTGTAAAATTTTTTATTTCATTTTACTTTGTATGTATATAACACGCAAATACCTTTCAATGCAACAAATTATGTCTCGTCTACTTTAGCAACAATATATCCTCGATTTGAAACTAAAGAAATCGATTTGAAACTTAAAGAAATGTGTCACTCCGACTGCTCTATTAAACTCGATGTTACGTATCAATATATAGTGTATACAAAGATAGTATGTTACTTTTATATTAATTATACATTGTACAAACTACGCGGCACTAGGAAATAAACGTCCGCGCCGACCCACATTTGATAACTCATTGATGTTGCATTTTACGATCGGCATAATTCAGCGTAAGGCGAGAGCCGCATCGGACGAGATGTCTTATCAGAAAGCAAATGTGTACATATATATATATATATATTTATCGTTGTAAACTCGCCAAATATAAAAAAGAAATGAAATATATTAAGATGGAAAACTATTTACATTATTGAAAAAACAGCAAAAAAAAAGGCAACACCGTCGGAAAGGACGAAACGATAATTTGTATGGTCGGCGGACACAAAAAAACGTATGTTCAATATGCAATATGATTTGTATTTCCTTTTATATTATTCTCTTTTTTTGTAATAAAATAGTCACTTAGTTACTTTGTTTGCTGCAATTGATGCTATCTAGCTTAATCAATTTTCTTTGTAATTTATTTAATGTTTCATCAATAATAAGAAACTCACTAAAAACTTATTCAATAAATCTCAGTTTTTCAAACGCCATAGAAATTATTTTTTTACTTAATAAATTTAAAATACATGATTTATAGTTATTACTGCGTGCGAAGTTTCAGAACAGTTTATTCTAAAAACAGTTATATCCTCAGAGAAAAATGACACCTTTATACCACTGTGTCGCGATAATGTCGGAGGTGTTGCCAGCGAGAAAACACCACGCTGAGAGAAACTAAAGACAATCACTATTGTCGGAGGTGTTGTCGGCGCGGAAACATCACGCCGCGAGGAACTTAGGACAATCAGTACTGTCGGAGGTGTTGCCGGGACAAAACCACTACGTCGCGAGGAACATTGTTGAAGCGATCGGTACTGTTGGAGATGTTGCCGGCGAGAAAATACCACGCCGCGAGGAACTTTAAGACAATCAGTATTGTCGGAGGTGTTGCCGGCGCGAAACCACTACGTCGCGAGAAACTCGGGGCAATCGGTACTATTGGAGGTGTTGCCGGCGCGAAAACACCACGCCGCGAGGAACTGATGGAGCAATTGGTACTATGGGAGATATTGCTGGCGCAAAACCACCACGTTGCGATGGATTGTCCCGCGCCCATCACGGTCGGAGATATTGCCACAGTTTGAGTTTTCTACAAAAGTCGCAATTTATCCGTTTTCTGAAGTTATTATACTCATATATACCAAAGTACACAGATCTTATGTACTTTCTGCCACGATGTGCCGATCCATGCGTATGTGCAGATCTCGTTACAATTGTGTTAAAGAATTTTTTAACGGCCTTAAATATACAATATCTGTTTTGTCTTTTTTTTTTTTATATTTTTTAAATTACCTGAATACCGTAGATTGGAAGTAAAATAGACGCAAGTTGCGGCATAAAAATAGGACCAAGTCCTGTAAGAGTCAATGCCAAGCCCGCAGCTCGCCCTCGTTTCGTGGTAAAGTAAGTATTGAGCGCCAAAGAGAATCCGGCCATCGACATACCCATACCAACAGCTGTACGCAAAGTACGATCATTTATAATATAAACTTAAAGCATACATATTTAAAAAAATCTAATAAAACATGCTGAACCAATTAATAAGTAAGTATATGTGAAAAATAATTTGATTATATATAATAATTTAACAATCATATAATAATTTAATTTTACTTACAGGCTAGTATCCCATAACAAATCATAATGGAAACGAAGCTGTTGGCGAATGCCGTCAGTATTATCCCAGTTGCGTACAGTATACTTCCAATCAATCCAATTTTTCTATAACCGAAAGTTTTCAAAAGTGGTCCGTTGATCAGGCCGAGAAGCATACCGAATGCTAAATTCACGTTAATTATAATTGATGTATCTGTTGCAGTTAGACTGAGAGCGGCGAATGAGTCTTTGAATATTAGTCCGAATCCTTGTATAATCGGAATGGTTGATAACTAAAAAATGATTAATTTTCCCCATAAATATCTCTATAGGTTTTTATATTGCATTATTAAGTTATAGCTTAACTTACGGCGTTTAGCGAATTAGCGATGACTATCATCCAACCCCAACCTCCATCCGGAGGTACTTTTATAGACATTTTACAAAAATTGTATGGTAAAATTAAATGTTATAAAGAATTTTGCAGCAAATATATAATAGATATTAATAATGTAATGTAATATGAGTGTGTATTAATAATTTATAATATATTCACAATAATACTATAAAAATCGCACACGAGATTAAAAATTTACGCGTTTGTTAAATAAGTCTTGAACACACGCTGTCTTTATTTTTATATTTCTTATTTACGCAATTCTTATAAGAAAATTAAACACACAACTTGTTTAAGATGTAAAATTTATGTCACTTCTTGCTTTATAAAAATTAACAACATTGTCTATGCAAGAGAACTGTGACTTGCGGTTTCGCAGCGCTGTCAATTTTATCTCTATCGATATTACACTCATTCACTTGACGGATTAATCGGAAAACGTGTTTTCTGTAATTAAAAGTAAATAGATACAAAACCTAATAATAATCTAATTTGTAAATAAAAAATCTAATAATTTTAATGCAATAAATGAATAAATGTTATACTTGCCTAGAACAAACTTGTGATTTTCAACAGAATTTGTACAAGAAACAACTATTATACATTGTTACGCAACATTACACAATAAATAAAAAACACAGTTGCTGCGTAACATTTATCGATCGTTTTGTTATATAAAGATACCGAGAATTTCTTTAATCTAAAAGTAATGCAAAAATAAATAACACAAAAGTAAGTAAGCTAATGATTAAGATATTTCTCTTTCTCGAAGTTCACTACATAGTATTGTGTTCTCTACATAATGTTCTGTTGCGCGTTACGATAAACGTTTGCAAACTGCCTTTGACGGACAGTTTGCAATCGATAAGAGAATACTACTGGAGATCATGATTAATCTAATCTCGCGAGCTCTTGACAATTATCAACAACGCACACGGAATATTCTTTTTGATGACTAATTGTAAGACAAAAAAAGTAGATTTTGCTGAAATGTCATTGTCAAGAGAACCGCTGTAAGAAACAATTTAAATATATCAATATTACATAGAGATAAGTAAAAAACATTAAAAATTTTATGTATAATTTTTTGTGTGTAGGAAATGATATAACATATATCGATAAAACGTTTTGTTGTATTATTATAACGGTATGATACATAAAACTACAAAAGAGTTAAGTAATATCATTACATAAGATTTCCACTGATACACCTTACGATACAATTAAAATATCGTATAAAAATTTTGGTTTCTCTCGGTTTATATTTAAACATAAGCATGTATTTACACAATAAATATACATTTTCATCTCAAAAAAACCTACATGAATTTATATTTTTCAGTGAATTTGTTGATGTGACATTAGAAAATATGGTTATACCTTGTTAAGTTTTTGTATCAAACTGTTTGTCGATAAACTATGATAAATTTTATCATTGCGCGCATTTGCACGAAGATTTGTGTAAAAACAAATTCTTCTTCTTTTATTTCTCCTCTTCTTTTTCCATCTATGTATTTAATTTTATTACAATATGAAATATTGTATACATCTATGTGTGTGTTTTTAATTAAAATATTAAAGCTTTGTGTCTTATATTGACACTAATTAATTAAAAATACCAACTTTATACACACAGTCGCCAGATATTTTATAAGAACGCTGAAGTTACTGTATCATAGTTTATAAAACGTTTTTAATTAACATACAGTGTTGCGATAATACAAAAAATTTTAAATTACTTGTTTAAGGGTGTAGATTTAGCTACACGTTTTCGTGAGAATTTTCCTGATTGTCTGATGAACTCTGTTTATGTAAGTCAAACATATTTGCGCATGGAGTCCAAAGTCCGCTTATTAACCACAGAAAGACACAAGACAAACTGAGAAAAGATGTAAAGTAGAGCGCACTCACGTAACTGTTTGTTGAATCACGTATCAAACCTAAAAATATTTATTTTTTTATCAAACTGAAATAGTAAAACCTTGCATAGGACAGCATCTCAACACATATATGTCAAGATTCAAAGTTAGAGATTTATAAGCTACTTAAAAAGTTACACGTTAAGCATTTCTAACGGATTTACCGATTAATGGACCCACGCTGATGGATAGAATGCCGTTACAAACCATCTGGATACCAGACGCAGCCGGCAATCTCTCTAATGGAACGTAATCGGGAATAATTAAAGATTGAAAAACAGCCTTGGTTCCCTTTGCCAGTCCGACAATCAGAAATACTCCGATCACGACGGCGTATAAATTACCCCATGTCGATAGAACTGCAAATTAATGATACTAAGCAATTAATATAATTGCGTCTTCAAGTCAAATTTGTTTCGAAACAGATCAACGTTTGTTTTTATCTTAGAAGCAATATCAGAAATCTTACTAGCTTTGACAACTTAGATCTCTACACGGCAAGCTCGTTACGAATTATATTGTATACAATACATGCTTACAATTAGCCAGCTAATCAACCCACCCCAAAGATCGCGCATTCGTCGGCATTTCTTAAAGAGAGATTCCTCGTGTTTTTCGTGTATACTTTATGTACGTACTGGTCCTGCCGAAGGTCGATCCCAACAGGGATATCACGTACAAATTTCGACATCTCCATCCGGCTTTTTGCGCCAACAGCGGAACACAAAGACGTCCCGTAATATCCGCGGCAGCCTGGATCGACATCACCATGGCTATCGACGTTCTGTCAAGACTCGCCAGCTCGGCCAGAACGAACGGTATCATCACGTTGAAATTTGTCTCGGCTACTAACGAGACAGCCATACCTGTTGTTATTTTTGTTTTTGTTAGAAACACGTTTTAAGTTTTATTTCAAAATAATTAATTTCATATAATTCTCTTTGCGCGAGTTCAGTTACGTGTGAGATCTACCTAATACTACCGCTATATAACGATTATCGCGAAGAAGATCGAGATCCAAAGTGGTAGCGATTGTTTTGAGGAACGAAATTCTTCCATCCTCCTTCTTCAATTCTGTTTTATTCTTTACGCGATTATTCGGTTGTTCCGTCTCTTCTGAATTTTCTTCGTTTAGCAATCGACTTTGGACGGTGATGTTGTCTTCTAAATTTTTTTCAATTTTGGATTTTGCTTCCCGGTGGTCTCCCGTGCCGCTCTCGGTTTTGGATTGATCAGTTGTTTTATCTTTTGCAGAAATCTAAAAAACAACATTAAACGAGAGAGAGCGTTTAATATAATTTATTTTATATAGTTTGTGTTGTGTAATGCAATTTGGCACAAGTAACACATACGCAATATTTAACAGAAGAAGAATCAGTAAAATCCTATCTTATATTTATGCCTATCTTATATTTATGCACGTACCTTTTACTTACCTCTTTCTTCGCTTTGAATGGTATTAACAGCGACGCACCAACGAACGAATGCGTAGCGATTCCAGCAAGAATGATGAGTGTGCCGGTGGTTGCATATCTCTCGAGAAATATATCTATCAAAAGAGGCATTAAGATCGGTCCCAAACCGGTCATCGTAACCGCCAGACCCATGGCTACGTTGCGTTTCTTGCGGAAGTACGTGTTCAGAGCCAAAGTCGTCGCTGGAAATATGATTCCTTGACCGACACCTGCAAATGCGTTTGTGTGTTAACAACTAAACATTTAAAAGTATTTAAAACTACTATAAAAAAATTTTTAATTTGTTACATAACGAGAAGTCTTGGTTTTTATCGTGTCTCTCTCCGAGTTCAATGGCACGTACTGCGAACGGTCAAGTAGCACGCCACGTTACGACCCTCATCCGGGTTCTAGTAATTACTCGAGTAACGAGATAGAAAGAGTGTGACTTACCGATGATAACGCAGTAAGTGATAATAAGAGTTGGAAGAGACACGGCGAAGGCGGCTGCGCAGATCCCAAGGACGACCGTCAGACCGCCGAAATACGCGACCTGACGAAAGGCGAATCTTTTCATCATCGGCCCGCTTATCAGGCCTAGACTGCACGTAATTGTTCCATTGAGATGAAGAATCAGGCTTGTTTGCGTCGCGGTGATGCCCAGGCTCGTGAAACGCTCCGCGAAGATAAGGCCAAAACATTGTTGGACTGGAAGAACAGCCAGCTGACGATAATAATTCTCAATTAATTTCGCAAAAAGTGAGATTCGATCGCGGTTAAAATTGTCGTCAATATTTTTGCAAGATCAATATTAGACTTAGCAAAGAGACAATCTTGAACGACAGCTTCGAATTCCTCGGCAAAAACAATTGTTTAATTCGATTTAGTGGAACCAATAAGAACACAAGATATCGACTTTTTTTTATAAATTTATCAAAACTCATTATTCTTTATATCTTTAAGTTGTTTGATCTTTGAGTATTGCGAGATGCTTGATAATGAGTCGTTATTGAAATTTAATTACTTGATTAGGAAAATTTTTACTTTGATAATAAACAAAGTAATTAACAAATAGAAAAAAAAAATAAAATTCTGTGTATGATTGCGAATAATAGATTGTCATTGCTTCGAGTTATTTACGACAGTAAACAGTGGGATGGCTTACATTGATGACAGTTACGCCGATGACAATCGTCCATGCCCAGCCACGGTCAGTCTCACCACGTGCCATTCTGTCGATATTGTATCTAATCACCGTCCCAGGTCTCTTGTGCTGTATTCTGAGCTCGTATCATCGACGGACTGTGAACTTAATTGTTCCGACAATGTACATTTCATAAATTTGAATCGGCCGCGAGTGATAAGATACGCACTGAAATGTAAAATTTCTTCGAGAAAAAACGCGCGGCTTCAGAAAATAAAATTCCACGCTGTTCGAATTTAGCGCGCGAGAGTTTTTTTATTCCGTTCAAATTTAAAACATGTACGCGTTTGAGATTAGACGCTGTTTAATTTACTGTTTAACAAAATGATGTTAAAGCGAACAGAAGAGAATGAATACAATCGTTAATTCGATTCAATTTGCTCCACAAACGATGGCAGCGTTTAAATTGCGTCGATTAAAATATCGCAATTTGTACATAAATAATCTTTCGTGCACTCGCACGTGCTGTTCGCAACACATTAACACTGGCATTACACACACGAATTCTGTATCAATTATTTTGTCTCTCAAATTTGCATAATTATCGAAATGAATTAATTACCGCGCATCCAACACGTTATCTCGAATTCGAAGTTATTCGTATTAGAAATTCGATTAGACGTATTTAAATAGCGCGACGCAATTATAGCTCTCTCTCTCTTCAATATTTACCTGCATGTTTAACTTGGCATTCAACTTATTTGCATTTTGTTTGCATTTCAGTGTTTCTTATCTCTTTACGCCAACGATTCAGACGCGTTTCTTTTTTTTTCTCTTGATAAAACGAGTCGCCTACTTGACGACCGAACGAAACTGTTCAGTCGATCTTCCGAGATCTTCTTCTGCGTCAAACACTCACCGATGCGCATTATTATTTAAAATAACAAATATCAAATTTTTACGACCGCTTGACACTAACTCAGATTACGGTCGCGCGAACTGACATTCGTCAGTTTTCGATTTATTTAACAATATAACAGAGCACTTTCTTGGACGCGCAATAAAACGCGCATCTGACGCGTGTTTGCCACACAAAGAGAAAGAGAGAGAGCAAAGAGCATATATTCTGAACCGCTGGCACACCGAGACTGGTCCGAACGCGATGAGTACCGGCTTCGTTGCTTTATATCAAGATCACGCGTGATCGGAGCGACCGCGTTTCTCTCCGCGCGAACGTTGCGCGCGCTCACAGCGCCGTGTGCAACTCGATATATTTAATTTGCAGTCGTGTTGCTCTCTTTCTTTCTCTCACAGACACACATATGCGCGCACATGCGTTTTCTTTCTCTTTGTGCTCGATGTAAATTAATCAGAGCAAATTCGTTATCTCACCTAAGTGCGATGACACGACAATAAGTCACATCAGACGTCTTATCATTGTGTTTGTTGTAGATTTTTTAATATAAAAATCCGAGTGTTTTAATCGAAACATTATTGGGAGCAGCAGATCTACAAAGACATGTCGATTACTTAAGTGTGAATTTTGTGCAATTACCGATTATTTTTTATTTGCAGAATTTTTGTTATTTTTTTTTATGGACTATTATCGCGTAAAAGAGACATGTAAGATCGCACTGTAAAACTCAAATACGCTTTAATACACGACTTCTGTGTTAACTACTTCATCGGCGAAATTATAATTACTTCGTAATTGCGACAACGTCTTGAAACAAAAAATTATATAGCAGTAAAAATTGAAACTATTTTCTGTATGACGTAAAAAATAATTGTACGACGTTATAAAACGATAATAATACGTATAGACGCGAATTTAATAAAAATTCGGAATGTGCAACGCGACTTAAGCTGTACTTACGTGCGCGTTCTATTTAATTAACGAAGAACGAGTTGTAACAAGCAGAAACGTATCATGAGAGTAAACATGTTGCAAATGAAAAACTGGTTTGTTTAATTTTTTGTGTATTTTGTGGAAAAATACAATACAGAGCCGCAGCGTTTGATAAGACGGCAGTCTTTGAGAGAGAGAGAAAAAGATTACAAATTGTACGAAGTCGACAGAGAAAATACCTTGATCCAACATAATAAGAGATAATTGTTTTTGTAAATAAAGACAAAAAAAATTGTTGCTATATACAGAAATGTTATCTGATTGATTATCGCAGACAATTTTTTGATCACACATCGATCTTCGGCGTGAAAGAAAAAATATGATTTTTTGATCTCGTTATCATGTAAACTTTTTCTCGCAGATGTAAAAGTTGGATAACTTTGTGTAACTATACTGTGTATAATTGTCATATGTTTTTGTAGTTGGTTTTCACTTTTAAATTCGAGTTGAATCATTGTGTTTATGACTATTCCACTACGTGCCTTTGCAACTTGTTCGTTAAAGCGAGGCGTCGTTTCTGAAAGGCGGTTAACGCAAATTCAACTCCCCATATGACGAATGTGACAGTTATCATTGCGGTCATCATGTGAATGCAGATCCTGTAACTCCCAGTAGTGTCCCTGACGTATCCTTTATTGTAAAACAAAAAGTAGAAATAGTGAACTCAAATTTGTGATATCAATCTGACACGTATCTCTTGCATGTGCACGTACCAATTAGAGGACTTAAGGTAATTATGCACAAGCCCTTAAATACCAAAAATATTCCGAAAGCACTCGGCAGCTTCTTCAAGGTGCAACATTCCGATACGCAGAGATTAAAATTCACCAGTATAGCGCCACGCACGAATCCCACTATTACGAACATAATCATCAGCGCCGTCTTTTTTGACTGTTCTGCCAATACTGTTTGTGGAAAAAAAATTATTTAATACACAAAAGAGCAATATTATATGTATATATCTAATTCAATTCTACGTAAAATAAACAGACATGGAAATAACATACAGAAAATTAAATTCGAATATCTTCGAATTCAATGAATAAAAATCTTTATAAATCAATGAAACAAAAAAAAAAACATTTACTGGATCGAGCAATGCCAATCAGGAGGCAGAACGTCCAGAAGATCATGCGCTTTTTCCAACCGAACTTATCGAAAAGCGTCGGCAGCGACAGTCTGGCAACAATGTCGGCGAATGCAGTCAAGGACAGGCAAAAGGCGACCTCCGCTTTCGTCATTCCTGTCGATCGTCAAGTTCCTACGAGCAGTCTACGTAATTCCCGAGCAGTGCCGTAGCGAGGATGTTTGCCGAGATCGGTGTCTTTTGATCACCGAAGTCCCTACAATAGCGCTCTGATGTGGCATTGGCACAAGAATTTGTGCGACACACTCACGCAGTCAATTCCAATATAATCATACTGACCAATCTCTCTTTGCACACAGACACACTCTAACGTTTCATAAACAAAAATAACGCACATCCTTTCGCTACGGTACTGTTTTGCGTTTGCAATCATGACTAACAACAAGCTTACCAATATTCGACAGAAAGAAAGGTGTCAGCAGTTTGAAGTTCGACTCGGCCACGTAGAAAATACTGCAACCCAGAATTACGTTCAAGTACACAGAATCTTTGAGAAGATCCAGGTCAAACATCGTCATTATCTGTTTTAAAAACAAAGCAGTCTTGGACGGAATTTTTGGTTCGTCTGCGGTTTGGTCCTTGGTCCACGTTGATCCGTTCGACATCCTCCGTAAACCGGCGGGATTTGTTTTCATCAACAAAGCCTCGGTTTCACGTTCCTCGTCAGTCTTTTTCTACAGAGATTTAATAATTATTTATAACAGAATTATCTCACTATTTTCTATCATGTAGAATATTATGTAATGAGATATATGTATAACTTTTTAGTCGATTAAATTAATTACTTCAATCGGCGATGGCTGTTCTTTAACTGGACGTAATAAACACGATCCTACGAGAGAGTGCAACGCCCAACCTCCAGCGATAAGCGTCGTACCGCGAAATCCGTATAAGTCCAACAAGATGTGTATCAGCTGTGTGAGAGTAAATTACTACTTGTGAAAAATGCATTTCTTTGCTTTGTTGAAAATATATTTTTTACCTGCGGCATGAGCATCATTCCCAATGCAGTGCCCGCCATGGAAAAACCCACGGCCTGGCCACGTTTTTTATCAAAAAACGTGTTTAGCGCAACGAATGCGCACGCCACTGCAAGGCCAGTACCAAGACCTGCAATAAGAGATGGTAAAATAAAATAAAATCTAATGTGTAATAAAATATTTATTTATGAGTTTAAAATTAGTTTACTTACGCTTATAATAATTATGATGTTTACATACCTCCTAAAACACTGTAAGTACAAATAATATACGTTATACTATTAGCCCTTGATGTGAGAATTAAACCGCTGCAGCTGAGAAAAGATCCAAAAAACGCGACTTGTCGATAGGAATATTTTTTTAATAATGGTCCGACTAGAAAACCTGTGCACAAATACATTATTAAACTTCTATTTTTACAAATAAATAATAATTAATAATTTCTCAGCAATTTTTTCAAGATTTAAAAAAAACGTTCTATGTTCGTGAAAATTGTTTAGTTTCCAAAAATACCAAATACATGTACATATATTCTATTGGTCTAAAAAGCTAATATTTACCTGAAAAGTTAACAATGGAATCTAAAACGCTCATTATGAGCGATGTTCCAGTTGAGTCAACTTCGAGATCTTCAAGCAGATCTTGGAAAAGCATTCCGAAGGATGGATCCAAGGATCGCAAAGAGAGCTGCATTAAGAGAACATCATAAAATATTATATACTATTGCACACAAAAAGAAGTAGAAGAAAAAGTAATTTTTTTTATTTATTAATTTTATTAAGAAGTAATTAATTTTTAATTATTAAAACAAATTAGTTTTTCTTCTACTTCTCTTTTTGTGCAATATTATATTTTAATGATTAATTTCATGTGGCATGTAAATTTTTTTATATATAAGTTACTTTTATTCACCATGTGTAAATAATAATAAAAATAAATAATTTGTTTGTGAAAACTGCAATAATAATAACTTTGGATAATTTACCGTAATTAAGCTACTTCCAAGACAGACAAACCAGCCCCATCCACCATCCAGAATCTGTTTTTTATTTTCTTTTTTTTTGCTTTCCGACATCTTTCACGTTATAAATAATGATTGTTCTTGCACGTTAGCATAGAATGGATTATATTAAATTAAAAATCAATATAATCAAAAGAATACACATGCAATACTGTAAGATTTACAGTGTTTCGTGACAATAAATAATTAAGTCGCGTTAATCATCACGTGAAAGAACGTTGTCTAATCGGTATCACATACTGATTGATATCACACACACCAATCAACAAACACGTCTGGACTATGTGACTTTCTGTTTCAGACTGGCCAAGTGTGTTAATCGGTCAGTTCTTTGTTTCTCTCGCCACTTTGCACAGTGGTTCCACTTCTGCTCCCTTATGGAAAAATACACCGAGTCATCTTCAGTGCTAAAACATTTGAGCGTTAAAATGTAGCCAATCGAACGCGAGAACTGTATAAGATAAAATGTAGGTGAACAATTTTGCAATTTTACAGGAGGTTACACAAGTCACTTGGCGTGTCACACGTAATTAATTATAATCGATTTCAGCTAACGTAATAAGTACTATCTACATAATTGTAAAACATTTATATGTTTAAATGTCATGAATTTTCCTACGTATTGATAAGATATCAAAAATATTATCACTTTTTATCTCTTTCTCTCTCTCATCTCTTATCGTTTATATATTCTACCTACAACGAAAGATATATCAAAAATCAAATCGTAACAAAGAGAATATGATTGAAATCATTCATACGTACAATCGATATTAATGACGTAATTCTGAGAATTTTATCTAAGAAAATAATATCAGAGGTTTTGAATTATTTAAAAGTAAAGCTTATTATAACTTATTACGCATTTGTTACTATGCAATTTCTGCTTCATATCTCCTAGTTTTTATTCTATTATATAACGTCACAATAAAAATATTATGTGCTCAATATAGATATAACAAAACTTACGCTACTGTAAAAGTTAGTTTTGATATAAATTCGAGGTTTTATTTATTCCCATCAGTTTGGGTTTCCACACTGTCACTTTTCACTTTTTTCTGACTCTCAGACGCAAAGAGTTGTTTGTGAGTCACGCGAATGACTGATCGTAGCGCGTTTAATTGGCGCGAATAATTGTGAACACGCGTCCATACACTGTCGCAGACAAATTGCTCGCGGAACTGGCCGCAACCTTCGTTGGACGCGTCTTATCGGTGCCAACATTGAATATGTATATAGATAATATTTGCGAGAATAGCAGTATATAGGAAAGCATTATCTATATATACACTATCTATAAATACATATATATTATATTATATATATATATATATATATATA